GTTACACTTTTTTTGCCAACCTTGATGGCTTGCCTTACAGTGGATTTGATTTAGTTTAGGTTTTAGTCATTTTATGTGCCACTGTCATCTTTATAAGTTCTGTTTTTTTTTTGTGTGTTTTTTTTCTATCTGGCTAAATTATGATTTTCTTTCAGTTTTAGTTAACAGTAACGGCAATGGTAGTGTCTTTGGGTGAATGTTTTTAGTATTTCAGCCTGTGCAATTGAATTGATTCAGAATTTAATAAAAAAAAAGGTATTGAACTAAATCATATTAAATTGAATACCCACTTTTTCTTAACCAACACTACCTGTGGGAATGATCAGTTCCACATAGCACTGTCCAGTAGAAATTCTCATCTTAACTACTGCAGAGATGCATTTACAGTAGCATTACTGCTTTTGCGTAAACAGTAAAATACTGCAAATACAGTAAGTTACTGTAAATTTCATTTAAAATACCCACAATGCAGTGCATTACAGTAGTTAACCGTAAATAATATAAACAGTATTTTACTGGGCTTTTTTTCGGTAAGTAACTGTAAAATTACAGCAAAGTCTAACAGTGTGGTTGTTGTTGGCATTCAGCTGTCTGAACAATCTGAACATGCTCTTTTCTATAAAGCCAGCGTTTGAAAACAGAGCCTGAGTCCAAACTGAGGGACAAAGATCAGGCTGATTAATAAGTACAGCAATGCCAGAGAGCAGTGAGTCACTGAGCCTCTGCTTTTTTCTTCCTTCCCCTTTATTCTACTCTATCAGTCTTCTTTTTTTGGTCTGTAGTTTCTCTCATGCTCTCGCCTCTCTTATTTCCTCACTCTTCATCACTTTAACTCTGGCTTTCTTCTGGCCTGCCTTTCTCTGCCCTTCATTTTCAGTACTCGTCTATGGTCCTCCCTCGCCTCCTACACTCTGTGCAGCTGCCGAGTACCTCTGTAATGCAGTTCATTACTGTCTATTACTGTGACATTCAGCAGTCACAGGTGTGTTCCCCTACGGACGGCTGCAATCATCAGTCATCGATCAATGTGTATAGTTGGTTGTGAGCGCGTTCACGTGTGTGATAGCGCCTCAAAAGCTGATCTCAATATAGTGATGTGCATCAATATATGGCTAATACATGGTCTACTGTTCTTAGTCTGAGACTGCTTGATAAAAAATATGGTTAATTGTGCTACTTAGCCTCAGATAAGGCAAGACACCATGAATAAGGTAAAATTGTTAACTGTGAGACATCACCATACTTCTACAGTTGATTAATCACAGTATGTTAAAGGGTTAGCTCACCCAAAAATGAAAATTAAGTCATTAATTACCCCCCCCCCCCATGCTGTACCAACCCCGTAAGACCTTCATTCGTCTTCAGAACACAAATGAAGATATTTTTGATTAAAATTGAGAGCTGGATCACTGCTACATAGGCACCCTAAGGGATCGAAACTTGACGGCCCAGAAAGTCAATGAAGAAAATGTTTAAATATTCCATGTGACTACAGTGGCTCAACTATAAGTTTATCAAGCGACACGAGTACTTTTTGTGCGAAAAAACAAACAAAAAAATAACGACTTTATTCTACTTTTCCTTTTCTTCCTTGTGGGCCTCAGACGAGAGTTCAAGAGATTTCCACGACGCATGCGTGAGAACTGAACTGAAGTAGTTGAAGGAGATCGCAATTCTCGCGCATGCGTCGTGGAAATCTCTTGAGAGATTGGAGCTTGTCATGTCATGTTAAGGCATTGGAATTCTTACTACTGGATCACAACAGCAAGTAGACTTAAGTGTCATCTGCGTATAGACCATTTTGCAAGATGTAAACAACGTCTGGTCCAGAAGCACTTTCTGTTTCAGTTTTTTAACACTACATAAAAGCTGGGCTAAAATACAACCAACAGAGCATATAAAACTGAATCAAAAAGTTGAACAAACATCTTTAAGATTTTTCCTTTACATGTGAAATAAAGAAAACAGTTACAAATTAAAACAGGAAGTGTTTCTGGACCAGTGTTGTTTACATCTTGCATAATGGTCTATAGAGCGTAAGAAATACCATACATCTTAAACATCCTTCCCAGAGGGATCATGTACAATGAAAACAGGACTGGACTCAAAATGGACCCTTGTGGGAAAAGGTATTCACTGTAAAGGATCTACATTCCAAATAAGAGGCTAACCATTTTAAGACCGTTCCCTGAATACCAACAAACTGCTTTAAACGAGTTAGAAGGATCGGGTGATCAATGGAGTCAAAAGCTGCTGACAAATCCAATAAAATCATTGCTGCATGATTACCTACATCTCTAATTAAAAGAAGATCAATAACAACCCTTAAAAGGGCTGTTTCTTTGCTGTGTCCACCCCTAAAACCAGACTGAAATGTATTTAAAATATTATTCTTTAAGAAAGTGGATAATTGTTTCAGCACATCTTTTTCAAGTACTTTAGACAAGCTAGGCAATCTATCACTCTATAAATCAGAAATAAAACTTTCAACAGCCAGAAATATTTTATGAATACATTTATGTATAAACCAGGTGAATGATATATGAATAAACCCCACAGTAAAAACCTGAAGATACAAATTAAACTCGAGCATTTAAGTGCTTCTGAAGTGGAGATTTCTGGCTCAGTGCATGAGGAAAACTCTTCGCTTCGCTGAGGAAGACTCTTTTTCAGAAAACAAACTGATATGTATTGTAATTAAAATCTACGATTGCCTGTTGTCTCTTTGGATTTGCATATGCTGAATAAATAATTGTAGATGCAAGCAGATGAGGTAAAATAAACACAGTAAATGTGTTTTTTGGATATTTGCATTCCAGTCTGAAAGGAAACAAGTTATGGAGGCCAAGCTCTTGAAATTGACCAGCGCATGAAAACAACACTTTTGCCTCTTGCCTTTTGCCATTAGCAGAGAAACGTTTAGATAGCACCACAAAGACAAATGAAAATTTGTCACATACAGTAAGAAAGTAATCGATTAATGGCGATGGCGTACATATAAACGTATGTATTAATGGCGTACATATCATAGGAATCTATTAATGGCGTACAAAATGGCGTACATATAAACATAAACTTGGATTGAAGTATTTAAAAATGACATAGCTTCCATGATTGAAAGAACACTAGAGTCTTTGAGGCATTAATGTCCCATTAAGAATAGCAACAGCAGCAAATGATTTATAGAGGTAATATGTCTGTTCATTAAATCCCCATGTGGTCTGTCAGATGCTCTTGATGCAGTTCACCCTTGAACTAGATGGACCATTTTAATGTCTCTGACTGTGATGGGATACTGATCTCCCATGTGCATTGTTTCAAAGCTTTCTTCAGTTAAATGCACAAAGCATCTTACCCATATGAGATATTGTAATATTGTAATTTCCCCAATGAACAACTGGATACATAATGAACAGACAAAATGAATAAACTAGTGAGAATGTGAAAAGTGTGTTTTAAGAGTTTATTATTTAGAAGCATTATTTTTTTCCCAAAATGATTGTGTGCATTCAAACGTGTGCTTCGAGCATGAGACCAGAGTAGCTTGTGGGTGTATGGATGCAAACAGAAAGTAGTGCAAACCAGCAGGCACAGAGAGATTATGTAAATACATCTTCATGAGCGTTCAGCTTGTTTCTCAAATGCACAGCGCTTTTTCTGCTCATTTGTTGCTCGCTGGATGATGGATCCGAGAAACACGGGAAGTGCCATTTCTTATAGTGCCACTCAGGGCATCACTGTTACGATCAGAGCTGTTTTTGGGAGAGGACGGTTATCGTTCTGGGTCTCAAGGGGGAAGTACTTAACAGCCACTTAGATGATTCATCTCATCTCGTTGAATGCTTTAAAAATTAGCAACATATTTTCAGCTTGTTGTTAAAGTCTCTTTCTGCATGGCTGCACATCTTCAGAGTAAAAAAAAACAACAAAAAAAAAACAGGTAAAATCTTATTAAAATCTAGTGCCATAGTAGTTGACTCCAACTGTATGCGGTAATGGGCCCTGCTGTTCAGCTTCTTTTGTGAGGCCCTGGGAAATAGTCCTATGTAATCCCTGTCTGGATGCATTTTCCCTTTATGAATGTGCATTTTAGCTGTCTAAATGTATCATAAAGGCTGTTATAGGGAAAAACTTGAAGCTGAGAATGCTTAAGCCACTGCCCCCGGTGGCACAAGCCGAGCAATAAAAGTGCTATTACTGCCATAAACATCTGATTGCTTCCACAAATGCAGTCGATTATGTTGCAGCGAAAGGACCTCGATTCCGCCGAGGTATTGACAGCATCAATCATACAGCGAGTCGATAGGTTGACTTTACTCAGCTGTCACGGCAGATGCAAATCTCAGAACTGGCCTTTCATTTCACGTATGTAAAAAAAGTAGCCTATTTTAGTTTCTTTGCTGAGCAACCCCTCTCATGTATCTTGATTAATGGTGTTCTTGGCGCACAGGCACTTGGCTGCTTGTCAAGAAAGATGGACGAACGCATTAGTCGTGCTTTTGCGCCAATATGAACATCCTCTCCATCCTTCATCATTGAGATTAGGGGGCTGGGGAACTGTTACCGTTGTTTATTTGTTTTTGAAGTGAGCCCACAGCTCTTGAGGCGGTTAAATCCCAGACGTGGTAACAGGTAGTTCGCCCTGACTCTGCCTTACTGAAATATTTAGCTGTGCTCCAGGAACCAGCGGTAAATCTCGCTCCCAGTTGCAATTGTGCTCCCGTCATGGCTGTTTACCTCACAAAAAAGGGAATGAGTATGAGGCAGAACACAATTGCTTCTGAGATTAAGATTTTCCCTTGCATCATGCGAGTTCATAGATAGCGAAGCCCACTATCGGAAAGAAACCGAATTAAAAACTTGACTCGTGAGAACAAATGGCTGTTATGAAAGGAAATAATAAGATTCTAATTGCTCAAGTTTACTTTATTCAGTGTTCTGTTTGATCTTTGCCTGCATACCCCTTATCAACTCCTTCCTAATCCTATGTGTTCCTGCAGGCTCCATTGAGGCTTGCTTAAGTCACCTGCTGAAGCGAAGAGCGGCCGGATTCCTCCGCAGCGATAAGATCGCCGCCCTCTTCACCAAGATCGGGAAGGTGAACACCACGGCGAGTGAGATCTGTCGCAAGGTTCAAGAACAGCTACAACAGCAGGCCGAAATCGCCAGGTCTGACTTCTTATTGTGTGCAAACTTTGCCCAATCTAATTGAAATTATTATTATTTTATTTTAAACAATTTTTTTCAGCTGACATCTCCTTGGCTATGTGGGCTATTGGTTACTTATAGAGTACATCTATTAACCCTCTGGGGTCTAAGGTGTTTTGGGGGTCCTTGAGATGTTTTGACATGCCCAGATATTTGTGCTTTTTTTAGGTGCTTATAAACATATTAATGGGAGAGGTGAAATTACACTCTATTTGGCACAAACAGGGCTACCATAATATGTGAGCAACCTGTATGCTTATTTGATGTCTATTTTATAGTAAAAATTTTATAATCTATCCAAAGCTAGTCAACGAAATATTGTCTTTTATGTCGTCTGTAACAGTGCGCATCTGTGCGTTCGTATTTAATATTCATAATTCATATTCAAACAGTCTTTGTGCACTTTACAGACACTATTCAATAACACAATTAGAACAAAGCGCTTAAGAATAAATAACATACCACATCAGCTGAATCCGTTGCTCCTCGAAATGAAACTATCTGCACTTCTGAGGTAACTTTTCCAGGATTATTAGGATAGTGTTATTCCTCACAGCGCAGCAACCCGAGGTAACGTACAAGATTCTTATTAAACTGAATGTTTTATCCAGCTGATGTGTGCGTTTTTATGGCTTGCCTCAACATTTACGTTTGAATAACGCGCGCTCTCAGTGGACGTGGTCACATTAACACATCAGATGCTATAATTAGGTGAAAGGAAAAAAGACTGGCATCTCTCTCTCTTTTGATATAGATTACATAAACTGAGAAAAGTTGTTTTTTATATCAATTACTTCATTTAAAAGAAGAGAATGTTAGCTTCATAAAGAGAAATCTCTTGTGTCTCTGTGACAAGTATTTACTGAGTTACAGTTCATTTTTCGGACACATTTCAGTTCAGATTGTTTCAATGCAACTTTACAGTGAAAAACAGGAAAAATAATAATTAATGATGCAAACAGAATTCAATTCTGCTGTAAATTAGCTCTAAAAAAGACAATTGTGTCATTATTCATCTGAAGTCAATTCAGTGTTGATTCGGATAGGTTTAATAACAATTTAGATTTGCAAAATTCGCCAATTATGAATCAGCATATAGGCTGCCCCAACATACTATGATATACTTTACTGATTATTAACTGCAAGTATAGCAAGCCATAAACTGGAACTGGTCATATTAGTGATATAAGGCAAGCAATGCTTTATGACTGATAAGCTGTTGAGACAATGATGAAAGCAGGAAGCAGATCTCATCTGGTGTGTGGAGAGGGATGATTTGCTGCACTGACTGGCTCTGCAGCACTCTAAATGAGGGATGGTTTGGGCGGATGCTCCAGGGCTTCGGTCAGCTTCTTATTTTCCAATTAACTCTCCATTAGCAGAGCCACATGGCCAATGTGTCACTCAAGAGTGGACCTATCTGATCTAATAGCCACAATCTCCAGGTGATGTGGTCAGAGATTAGTTGAAGCCACTTTGGTGTGTCAGTACTGTAGCACACACACACACACACACTTAAAGCATTATTGCGGAGTGCTGCTAGTCACATGATCTGCGGTGTTCCCTGCCTGTCCATTTTAACCACCCCTCCCCCACCACACACACTTGGTTACTCACGTTGCCACAGCAACACCATGGTGTCACCATTGCTAGAGCAACAAGATGCTCGGCGGTTATTGAATACCTCTACCGCAGCGATTCAGGGCTCAAACCCAGATCTAATAAAGCAACTGCATGTCTTTAATTTCTTATATTGCACTCTAAACACATTTGTACTTCAGTAAGGGGTAGACCCGTGGGGGAGGGGGTGCCAGAGTTATAAAAAGGGAGGCATGGCAAGACTAAGGGATAGTGTACAGTCAGCAGATTGTTATATAAAAGAAACCTCCTCAGGGCGATACAAGACCCCACTGCGAAATGATCCCACTTATTATGTGGCAACTTGCTGTACATGCTGTATTTAAGTAAATAATTGAACACCTCACCTGAATTTATTACCTCAAGATGGCTTACAATACCAGCTTGAGTGGTCCAATTCAGTTGCTATCATGTCATAACAGACTGGTACATGTGAATGTATATATCTATAAACTAACAATGGTCTCTCTCACCAAGACACCTGCCCTGTTCTCCACTCACTGGTTCTCCTCACACCACAACTCAATTTGCCTCTGACCGTTCTGTTAAATTTTAATCCTGGCCTGTCCCTGCTCTCTCGGCAGCATAGCAGGCTCATAATTGTATGGCTGTGGTCCGTCATACGAGTAAGCGTCCGAAATGTCATTGTGATCCATTTCCTTAGCGTCCAAAATGTCATTGTGATCCATTGTTTTCATGTTGTTTTAGTCGACCGCTCTCCCCCCGTTACGTCACGCCCGCCATGGCCATTTTCAGATGCGGAAGTAACATTTTCTCACAAAAATGACTCCTGAAGCTTCTGTAGCATGTTTATAAGTATATTTTTTTGCAAGATGTAAACAACACTGGTCCAGAAACACTTCCTGTTTCAGTTTGTAACTGTTTTCCTTATTTCACATGTAAAGAAAACATCTTAAAGATGTTTGTTTAACTTTTTGATTCAGTTTTATATGTTCTGTTGGTTGTATTTTATCCCAGCTTTTATGTAGTTTTAAAAACTGAAACAGGAAGTGCTTCTGGACCAGTGTTGTTTACATCTTGCGAATTGACTCATTGGGTCCTCTAACCTGCAATATCCCCTTTTAAACATCACAACTATCAAAACAACATGTCTAGATGTGACACTAATGTCGTGACGTGACAAAGACAAAAATAACCCATTATAATCAATGATGCTGTCTACACTGGATGTGGCATGACAACAAACTGTTATATTTCATTATGTTTCCATATCTGACATACTCCAAATGTTTGCACAACTTTTGAGATAAAGGACAAAAAGATTTGCTGTACAACGGTGATACGGGTATAGCTGCAGCCTAGAGATCTCCAAATTGGAAATAAAATAGCTTACACTATAGAATATTTATTCTATATATAAAATACTAGTTGATTTGTTGCTCATCCCTATTAAATACATGGATATTATTTGTCAATTAGCTTGAAGCTACAGTAATCGGCCAAGACATACACTGCAACAATATTACAGTTTGCAATTTTAGTTTAGTTTTCTTTTTCTTTGGCTAACATATCTGTGTCTCTTGCAAGTTTGTTGTTTTTTCTGAACTATGTGTTTGTTTTCTTGCTTTATAAATGGACTCCTGAGCTGATCAGAAAAGTGCAAGAGTGATATGAAATACATATTGCCATAGACATGAACAATGGCTAAATATAAAGTTTAGCTGACGTTATTCAAAAAATATGTGCAATTTGCGGATTCAATATGGATTCACTTTATTAATAGCCTCTGAAGCTGCTCTAGATGCTCTGCATGATTGCTTTTGTTGGATCAGAAACGCACAGTTTCATCTCCAGACCATCTGCATAGCTCATCTCAGGTGCATGGATTTATTTGCTTGTTTATACTGAATGTCCACCGCTGTGGCCAATACTCACACATACAGTGGAAGTGGCAGGCCATTATGGGATCAATGCTTATGTAAATCAGAGAAGATGAGGGTGCTGTTTCATAGCAGACTCATCCATCTCTGGTGCGCCTGCAGCTGTGGTGTAGTGTGATGTCCGGGCTGGAGGGAGATTGATGGCTGCGGGGTGTTATTGGCTTACACCCCATGATGGACTCCCTCAACATTACAACAGTCTTTCCAGCTATCCACCACAGCCTCCGAATGGATCTCAGAATGGCTGGCTTAGTCAATCTTAAAGGAATATGGTTATTTAGTGATAGTTTAAGTGATGCAGTGATTTTCTGCCTTTTATTAAACATAAAACAATAATTAAAGGACTGCATTTCTCTTTTCAAAGTCTATGGGGTTCAAAAACACCAAAAAAAAAAAAAATATATATATATATATATATATACTGTATATATATATATATATATATATATATATATATATACATATATAGAAGACAAAATATTTTCTTTCGTGTTGCAAAATATTTTTACTCTTCCTCAAACATGCTGATCTCCACTAGGGGTTTTCCTCATTTTTCTCTTTTATTGTTCCTGAACAGCTCTATTCAATCCTAGATTTTCGCTCTAACTTGACAGTGCCCTAAAGCAAGATGTTTTGTTTTGTTTTTATCTTCTGTGATTTCTTTATTTTCTCCAGGTGCAGCAACGACTCTGTCACCCTAGAGCTGGTGTTTGGTTCTTATTGAAAACTAAATGTGCTTTCTGAATACTGTGATGTAATCTAATCCAAAACATACAGTAGCATTCAAAAGTTTGGAGTCGGTAAGATTAATTTCATTTGATCATAGAGACTTCTTATTTTATTTGTTCAAAAATACAATAAACAAAAAAAAAATTGTGAAATATTATTGCAATTTAAAATAACTCTTTTTCTATTTAAATATATTTCAAAATATAATTTATTCCTGTGATGCATAGCTGAATTTCCAGCAACATTTCTCCAGTCTTCGGTGTCACATGATCCTTCAGAAATCATTCTAATATGCTGATTTGCTGCTCAAGAAATATTTCTTACTATCAATGTTATTATTATTAGTTTTGATGATGAATAAAAGTTCAAAAGAAGATCATTTTATTTGAACTAGAAATATTTTGTAACATTATAAATCTGCAAACTCTAAATGTCACCAGCTGATTGGTTCTTGACCCATCACATCATTCTATGGGGAAAAGCTGATTGGTTCCCACTGTATCAGCAGCAGCATGTCTTACTCGCTCACAATAGCGTGTCATGTTTGTATAATAATCAACAGCAGCAGCAGCTATGACAACAGTAGTATCAACCAAACACATTAACATGGTCATATTCATTATCATAGCAAACTCTCAGAGTTATCATGACAGAAATGCATTTGCTGTCAATTTAGGTCAATCCAATACATTCTTGCTGAATAAAAGTATTCATTTCTTTTGAAAAAAAACCCCAATTTTTTGAATAGTTATTATTATTGCAGGGATTTTGCCAAAAAATATTTTTCAGGAATAAGAGGAAATACTGTTTTTGATGGGTTGAGTGGTCTGCATGACAGATGATATAATAACTTGGATGTTCCAGCTTTTATCTGTGAGATTGATCTTTTTTAATACGCTGAGGTGAGTCTTTTGGGATGACGAATGCTCTGCCCCTGTCATTGTGTAAATATGTGTGTGTTGTCTTCATTGGCTGAATGGTCTGGTGGGTTCGAGTGGGCTTTGTGACTGCCGCTGGCCCTCCTGCTCTGTTGTAGATGAGCAGCCAGGTCATCCTTTTGAGATGCTCTATGGAGAAGTAGACGCACAAACACTTAAAAACCCCTCCTGAAAGGCACAGTCATGATCTCTTGCGTGTCTTTTGCTTCGTTCCTAAGACCAGACAATGTAAGGGATTTTTAGAAGGTTATATGAGGATAAACAGAAGCACAAAATTAGTCTTTATAACTTCATATAATGTTTTGGAAGAATGTCCGAGAAAAAATGCAAAAATCGGTGCAAATCAATGCTATTATTTAATTCGGTCACATCAGACTTGACTTTTTCTATGTTCTTATGTTAAGTGAACATTTTGGTCACATTCACTTTTGATCTTATGTGTTTGTCATTGCTCGTCTCTCTCACAGGAGGACTCAAAGCACAGGACAGGAGGCCCTCAGGAGGCAGGGCTCCTCTGCCGGACGAGCACCTCAGCCACTCTCCGCACAGGCCATCAAGCACATATGGGTCCGCACGGCCCTCTTCGAGAAAGTCCTGGACAAAGTTGTGCAGTATATTGTGGATAACGCAAGGTGATAATTAGCATCAATACTGTCTGTATTCAAATTCAGCTTCAAATTGAATATTATTTTTTTAGTACTATATATTATAATATTGTGATCAGGGTCCTGGGGCACGGGCCCTCTAGTCTAGTCATTTCTTTTTTGTCCACAGTGATTGTTTGGATTGCCATATGGAGCTCATGAAATGATAATGGGTTATTTGTTCAGCTTTTGAAAGAGGTCACTGGTTATTGACATACACATTGTGTGTGTTTGCTGTTGGTGTGTGTTTGTAGTAAGTATTATGAAAGGGAGGCCCTCATACACGACTCTGTGTTCGGCCCTATACTGGCGGCACTGCTGGGTGAGTTTTGTTAAAGTTGTTAATTGAAAAGATATTATGTTGTCAGCATTTTCATTATTTTATTATAATTCACAGTTGTATCACATTACAATTTGTTTTGTGTGAAATCAATATTTTTTTTTTCATCTATAGTTGGGCCTTGCGCTCTGGAGTACAGCAAGCTTAAGACGTCAGATCATTTCTGGACGGACCCGTCGGCCAATGAGCTGGTCCAGAGGCATCGCATCCACGGGGCCCACAGGGGTCAGGAGGTGTCGCCGGGACGCAGGCCTGCACTTGGGGTGAGAATATAATACATATATGGGGTGATTGTTCAGTATGTTTTTTTTTTTAGTAGTTCATAAATATCTCAAATTCATGGTACTTTCTCAGATCCGAAAGCGTCAGTCCTCAGGAAGCATGTCTGAGGATAAGTTTGCGGCCTCGGCGAGAGAGTATGTCGAATCCCTGCACCAAAACTCACGTGTTCACTTGCTCTACGGAAAGAACAATGTACTCGTTCAACCGGTAAGACGCTACACACACACACACACACAAATGCACTTACAAGAAAACTAGTTAAATTAGCATCTACATTTCTTTTGATGGTTGTAACAAAAAAGGGATTGATTGTAGATCAGTGTCTCATCTAATCAATACAGTGACGTCTGGTTATAGGAAGAGAGCCACAGTGGTGTACTCTAGTTAGAAAAGATCATTGATCTACTATTGATCTACTGGTCAAAATCTGTTCTTTCCTTGTGTAATGAATGGTCAGATGAATCCGGCTCCATTTATCCCTGGCATTTTTAGCTCTGCTAACTTCCTGCCTGATAGTTGTGAACTGGAAAAGGCAGACTGGATTAGCCATTACACCACATTAGGTTTGTCATCAAATGAGTCAGGCGCAGACTGGATGTGTGCATGCGTGTCTGTGAGATTTGCAACAGTGACTGATGTAACTGGGCACAGAGAGTGCTGGGTCTGGCGAGGACTTGTAGAAATCAATAGTGTAAACGTCCCTTGCCAGAAGGATTGCAGTGATTCAGGTCTAATTGGATTTCTGTGTGAAACCTGATGCGTTTCGCAGTTCTCATCATCACAGTAAATCGTCAGAGACATTTTATTTATGTCACTCTGTTGCTTATTTGACTGTCTTTTCTTTCATTCTGTGAGCTCTCACCTTTTTTCTCACTTTATTGTTAACTTGTAAACAGAGAAAAATGTGTAAGGCTGTTATTTTTAGACTACTGAAAGAGGAATCGGGGAAGCCGCTGTGTTTTATTGAATAGACTTTGTTCTTTGCAGAAGAAGGACATGGAGGTGCTGCGTGGTTACCTGTCCCTTCATCAGACGGCAGAAACACTGACGCTGAAGTGGACGCCCAATCAGCTGATCAATGGCACTCTGGGAGACTGTGACCTGGAGAAGAGGTAAAATATAATGTGTAGACACACAGGGGGAAATCAGGGAAATTATGTCATGAGGTAAAACAGGCCACAAGAGCTTGAAATTATTTGAGATTGCCAATCACTGCAAATAATTTTGCCCCTACTGTGATTTGATTGGTCTGAGATGTTTAGGACTGAGATGTTTTTTTTTATGGATTTACAGGAAAAGCATAAGATGATTGTCCTCATATGTTGATTGCTGGTTTGTAATGTTAAAGAGATACTCCACTTTTTTTGGAAATACGCTCATTTTACAACTCCCCCAGAGTTAAACTGTTGAGTTTGACCTTTTTTGAATCCATTCAGCCGATCTCCGGTTCTGCCGGTACCGCTTTTAGCATAGCTTAGCATACATCATTGAAGTGCACCAGACCATTAGCATTTCTCCCAAAAAAATTACCAAAGTGTTTCGATATTTTTCCTATTTAAAACTTGACTCCTCTATAGTTACATCGTGCACTAAGACAGACGGAAAATCTAAAGTTGTGATTTTCTAGGCTGATATGCAGGGAACTATACTTCCTAGTCATATCAGCCTAGAAAATCGCAACTTTAGATTTTCCGTCTGTCTTAGTGCACAATGTAACTATAGAAGAGTCAAGTTTTAAATAGGAAGATTATCGAAACACTTTATAATTTTTTTGGGAAAAATGCTAATGGTCTTGTCCACTTCAATGATGTATGCTAAGCTATGCTAAAAGTGGTACCGCCAGAACCGGAGATCGGCTGAATGGATTCAAAAAAGGTAAAGGTATTTCCAAAAAAAGTGGAGTATTCCTTTAAGGTTGATATGTTTGTGAAGAAGAAATAGACATGAATGTGTAGTATCAGGAAATGAGATTAGCAGAGCAACAACATTTAATGAAAAATACTGTTTAGATTCTGGTCTATTTTAAAAGAACAGGGGAGAATTTTCACTCTCTGCCTCCTTCTCTCTGTTTCTTTTTTTTCTATTTTTTTTTTAATCCACTGTAGTATTTATTGGGACTACGCTTTGACTGTGCCTTTAAGACAGATCGTCTGCATTCATTGTCACCAGCGCCGTGAGTCCCCTTCCTACACCTTTGGCATATTATATTATATTATATTATATTATATTATATTATATTATATTATATTATATTATATTATATTATATTATATTATATTATATTATATTATTTAACATTTGACAGATTGTCAGCTTCAATATAGCACATATCTTTTTTAGTAACAATTATTGATTTAATTCGCATTATACCAGTGATTATTATATTATATATTTTTTATACATTTCTTTATGAATTTCTCTTAGCGGACTGTGGTGGTACTCTGGTGTTAGTAAGTCAGGATGGGATCCAGCGTCCTCCTCTGCACTTCCCTCCTGGGGGCCACCTGCTGTCGTTCCTGTCCTGTTTGGAGACAGGCCTACTGCCCCGGGGTCAGCTGGAGCCCCCCCTCTGGTCCCAGAGGGGTAAGGTGAGCGTTTCACTGCAGCAGTTTTTAAAAACATATAATATAGCAGAATGTTTAGATGTGTCAGCAGCATTTGAACCTTCCACACTTATTCATTCCCATTGCCAGTGATCTACTGTTGATCCCCTCACTGCCTTTTTCTGAATTCTGGCTTTTTGCTTGTTGACGCATTGCAAATTTAATCTACGATCTTTATTTGGAACCTGAGTTTAGTTTAAATTCGGCTCTGTGTGTTTGCTTAACAGGGCAAAGTCTTCCCTAAGCTTCGTAAGAAGAATAGCACGGCTCGTTTAGTAGATCAAGACGTGGATGGAGAGGAGCAAATCGCTGCAGACTACGTGTTTCGCATCGTTTATCCAGGGCACCGTCACGACTCAAGTGAGTTTCAGCCAAAATGTGCCTGACCTTCTCACATTTGTATGTACATCCAACTAAAGTGACCCCAAAAGCATTAAACTCTTAAAAGCCATGCATAAAAATGCATGAATCTTTTTGCATTATAATCAAACTTAAACCTTTTTAAGTACTCACGCATCCTGTTCAGCCAGACCTGATTTCCTGGATGTGTGAACACTGAAGAGGGCTGTATCAGACACCATCCCCGCATATCATTGTTGTCTGTGTGTTTTGTTCTCACTTTTTTCTGGAACATAACAGCCGCTGTGGAGGCTGCTGGGAGGGACGTGGGTATTCAACGCAGCCTTTAGATTTTCAACTGTTCTTGGGATGACACTGCTCCTTTTTATATCTGTGTATGTTTGCACTGCAAAAAAAAGATTTTTTCATGTCAGTGTTTTTGTCTTGCTTTCCAGTTAAAATATCGAAGCATCAAGATCCATTTACTCGTTTGCAGAGAACATATATTAAATTCCATCAAATAAATCATTGAAATTTTTTTCTAATAACAAGAAACGAGAAAAAAATGTAGAGTGGGACTTGATTTTGTCTATTGGGAATTAATTGGATGGTTGTGGTTTGCTATTGGTTTATCTCATGAGAGTGACGGGTTGCCAGTAAACACATCTTCAGAGAAGGAGGGGAGGGGAAGTTATTTTGATTAAAGATTATGAGTCACATGAATAAAACAAACGACATGCATGAATAAATCATTTATAATAAATACTGAAACATTCCATAATAAAACAAGAATTTGAATTTAAAAGCGTAAAATTTGCTTAAAGGTGCTATATGTAAGTTTTCTTCTAAAATGAATCCTTTTTTATTGTTTGTGTGTGAAGGGGTTTTTACATTACAATAATCCACTTGTCGAGTTTTGCTATTACCTCTGAAAGCCAGTATTCCTATTTCTATGTGAAGTCTCTGGGTCGGATTTTCTGCGAAATCCGTCGGATGTGACGTGCATGCGCACTCCCGAGCCTCTCTCCTTTTTATATACAGTCTATGCGACGGCACTGCAGCTGATGGCAGTCTGATAACACCAAAAAACTATAAAAAACAAAACAAAAATGTATCTGCTGAAGCTCGTTAGGCCAAACGTGAATCGGATCGACATAGGACGAAAACACGGATCAACATCGGCGGAGCGCTTGAATTATGGAGAGACTTCCGAAGTTTTCTGATATGCAGAAATAATGGTAAACTGTAATGAAATAGCAAGGTAAACTACACCATACATAAAACATGAAATGAATACAAAAGACTGTTCCAGAATTAAAAAAGTAGGTGCTTTAGGATATAACTTTTATTTTATGTACTAGATCTACTGTCACTCATCCCACTACTATCATATTGTTTATAATACACATTTCTAGACGCGTTCAGTACTGTAATGTTACTTCCTACGAAGTAATTCGTTATCTACGTAATTCGCTTTCTACGTTTTCGTTATCACATTATACAGAATAGTAACGTTGCAGTGGGAGGTTACATGAGTTTCCAGCATGTTGTGTGATGCTTTGTCTGGTGTGTGTAAAGTCTCAGTGTGGCCGTGTACCATTGTAAAAATTGGTTGCAATCTGAAACATCGCCGATAGAGGCCGCTAAAAAATACATATAGCACCTTTAAAATAAGGCAAAAAACCCTATAAGAATACATTTCAGTTCAAGATGTGTTCTCTGACAACTGTTTTTAAAGTCTTATCTAATGCGATTTCACTTGTTTTATTCGATATTTTACTTCAAAATAAGACAAAAGTACCGATAGAAAAATGTTTTGCAGTGTGTGTGTGAGTGGAATGTGACTTTGCTTCAGAGGCGGGTGCTAAACTGTGTTCTTTTATTGCCCAAGCAGTCACTATAAACTACCACCACACCACGGGCAGTCGTGCGCCCTCTCTGGACGACGATGAGGAGGAGGAAGATAGACTTCACGCTATGATCTCTATGATCTGCTCACGGAACCTCACAGATCCTAATGTCATGAAAGGTTTTTATCACCAGTGGCCCACTTCATTCTCCCTTCCTCCTTTCATACATCCTCTCCTCCTACTTTTCTTTCCATCCCAACTGTTACCTGGTCCCCACAAGGAGCAACCCAGCAGTGCGGCCGGTTGTCGGTCAGTGAGGGCAGATTGAGAGACAGTAGGTGTCTCAGGCGTCATGGTTTCCTTGTCACTGTTTACGCTGTTGGCCTGATCTGTATGCTTGTAACCATGGGAATATTTGCGGCTAGGACAAAAGCTAGGTCAAGTCGCACAAGAGTGTGTGTAACACACATGCACTCCATTGATAAAAAAATATGCAAAAAATCTTTAAATAGATGTTATCTAAATGAAAAGTAGATAAACACCACAAGATCATACTGTCCTTGTGATGGGAAAGTTTGTAGTACGAAAGTATAGGTCAGACTAATGCGTCATAAAATGTCATGACCTCCAATGTTGCGTATTATAGGCATTTAAACATTTCACTTCTCACCTCCAAGCCTATTTTATTTCACTGTATATAGATAAATATACATTTAAATGTCTATAGCTCTAACCAAAAATTATTGATTTTGATTTAATTTACATAATATGAATGTATAAGTACAATCTATGCATCACAAATCAATTTAACTAAAATGTATGTTGTTCTAACCTGAAATAACTATAGGTAGACAAATTTATATTATATTATAAATTATATATTATATTATATTATATTATCAATGTAGCACATATGCTTTCAGTATGAATTAGCACCCTATTGGAATTTCTCCGTTTATTATTGATTACATTTTCATTATATCACTGATTATATTACATTATATACAGTATATATATATATATATTTCAAACCCGCTTGTAGGGTTGTCGTTGCATTATATTATTATTATTATATAAGATGAATATCCCTTATTTTTTTTTACATTTGGGTTTGCAAGCAAAGTTTACACGTATGTGTGTGAGGTCAGTACGGTGCACATCTCTCCCCTTTTGACTCACTCTCCTCCACTCTTTTCCCTCCGTTGCCGTGGGTTACCGACTCTAACCCTTTTCACACTCAGGAGAGCTTCCACTGCTCTGCCACGTTGTCACACCACTACGCTGTCCTTGTCCTTTTCCCTTCTCACACAACTGACCTAGGAGGTATATTTTTGGCAGTTGTGGAGTCCAGACGCGTTCCTCCTCCCTGCACTGCTGGGCCTGACTGTGGTGGCCAGGCAGCAATGCTTCCAATGATTTGCTCTGTTTTTCCTTTTGCACTCTTTGGTTGACATGAGTAAGTTCTTATGAGAAGTCTTGGTTATTTTTGGGTTCTGTATCTTCATTTGGTTTCACTGCCAAACGCTCAAGGGCTTTGCATGTCGAATTTGCACACGTTGTGTCTTATATTTTCGTTTCTTTTATCTTTGCAGCGAATGTGCTCCACTGCTTACTTGTCAGAACTGTGTCCCCTTCCCTTTATTAATTCTCTCTTTTCCTCTTTGGTTTGAGTTGTTGTCGTCGTCGTCGTTGTTGTTGTTGTTGTTTTGATGTTCCTCCTGTGTTGAGCCGGTTTTCTGCAATGCTGTTCACTGTAATTCTTCACTAACTGCAGTCACCTTTCATTATATCAGTTAGGTCCTGTGGGGTTCTGGTGTAGTAGACACACGAATCGTTCTGTGAACGCGTCGCCCATTCGATCATAGCCTTACCAAAGTCCTATAGCTCACGTGAGACTTCTATAGGGACAGATATTGAGTACGTGCTCTCCGTCCACTTTTGTTATTTTGGTTACAAGCAGGGAAGTTACTGTGTATAGCAGGTCACCAGCTCCAACCTGAAGAATTAAGGTGAAGAGCATTTACGTTTACTATCGACTCTTTTGGTTCAGTTGGTTCACTATCACATTTTATACAACTACGCACAGTGTACATTTCTCTTCTTTATTTGTCTTTATTTTTTTGTCATGGTTCAATCTGATGCATCCAGCATGGTAGGAATGGTTACTGTCTGTCCTTCTATATTCCTCTCCAAGCTCTACCAGTGCCTGGCTTGATTTGTGACACTGTGATTGATTGATCGATTGATTGGCAGGTCTCCTGGCATGGCATCCCCGCATCGTTTTACACCTTTTCCTTCTGTTCATTCATAGATGCATGTTTTTTGATATCCTTATACTTCAGGTTTGCTTTGATTTCATTATCTGTGTTTAAGGACATCTGGTTAATGCCATTTCTGACTGGAAGAAATATCTGTAAAGAAAAGTACATCTAAATTGGGGCTGTCAATTAAACGCGTTAAATATTAAAAATAAAGCTAAATATGTCTGTCTATAAAGGGAAAAAAAAGATGCCGAGATGCTGAAAAAACAGCGAGTTTGTACATATGCTATGCCGAAGTTTAAAAAAAACACTGCAGTGCAGACATAATGCAAGAACAAGTCTTGTGTAAACAGCCCCAACATATAATCGGAAAGCCTTATGCCCAATGATATGAAAATAGACGTAATATCGACACTTTTTACGCTGCTTAAAAACTTATTTACTCATTTGCCACAATAATTTAATACCTCTTAATGAATTAGGGAATGATTTCTCAATCGAAGTGAACATGTGAATAATTGCATTTATTTTTGTTTCATTAATCAATATAGCATTTAATGATAAATTCATGTAATGAATATTTGATTGACAGCCCTAATCTAAATACCATCCAAAATGTAAAAAATGTATACATAAATAAAACATTCAAAAAAAGGATATATTTAAATGCTTATATCTTAATTATCTCATGGTTGAGCTGAGGCCTGTAATTCAGTGAATCTGAGGCTTTCGAGCTAAATATGGCGTTTAATGGCCATTCTATTCCGGATTAATTTCTGGAATGTGAAGTGAAGTCCCGTATGGCATCTTTTCGCCGTACAACCGCTTCAAATTGTAGAGTAGCTCTGGGAGGAAAGATGATTAATGATTCTTTGCAATATTAATACTAATATATCTTCAAATGCAGGTTACTAGAGCAGGTTTCATGGTTGCTTATTCATGTCTCTCTTTCTCTCGCTCTGCCTCTTTTCTGTCTGTTCCGCTCCCACGCCCCTTGTAGACCACGGGGACATGATGGAGATGCAGGGTTTTGGCGGCAGCCCGTTGTCATGGCAGCAGTGCGAGTACCCCAGTCATATGTCATCTTGTCTGTCCTGCTCCACAGGGGGCAGCAACGCTTCCGTCGAGCTTCCAGCGAGCTGCACCTGCATGCATGACCGGTGAGTGAGAGACCTTTTACACTTCTGGCCCTCGGGGTCATTTATTCCTGTGATGTTAAAGCTGAATTTTCAGCATCATTTACTTCAGTCTTCATCGTCCCTCTGTGTCTATTTAGTATTCCACTGAAGATGCTGTGCCAAAATATGAAGAGACAGATTGTGTCTCGAGCGTTTTATGGCTGTAAGTCCAAAAGAAATCTGTGTAATCATTCACATGAATTAGTATAATAAACCCTCAGCTGTGCAGAAAGTGCCTTAATGCTCATTTTGCCACTTTCCCGTTTGTAGGGCTGGCCTACTGTCGGCACCTGTCCACTGTGAGGACGCACCTTTCAGCGCTGGTCAACCACAACATGGTCCCTCCAGACAAGCCCTGTGAAGCCTCTGGAGGGCTCAGCAAAGATGTGTGGAGTAAATATCAGAAAGATTGTAAGGTTAGCCTAGTACTCTTCAGCTCCAGTCACTAGAGGGTACTAGTGGTCAGTGTCACGTACCGTAGGTTGCCGTAGTCCCGCTGTCTCCATCTGTCCCGTGTTCTCTCTTGGCAGAATTATAAGGAGCTGGAGCTGCTGAGGTTGGTTTACTATGGAGGGGTGGAGCATGAGATCAGAAAGGAGGTGTGGCCGTTTCTGCTGGGACATTACAAGTTCGGGATGGACAAGAAAGACATGGCTCAGGTAAAGAAGTTCCTAAAACTTTGTAGTGTGTACATGGAAAAAGAGGTACAGTGAAAAAGAGGTACACTTTGAATAAACATTCAGTGTGAACTTTTCAGTCACTTAATTTTTAATTGCAATTTGGTGTAAATTTATTATAGTTTACATTCAGTTTTTAGAGTGCTTTTTCTGGCTCACTTAAGAATGACTTTAGTACATCTTTATAATTCATTTCATAATTTGTTTTTAAAGTATGGTAAAGTGTGCTGCTGAATGTACTGAGAAGCATTTATTGTAAACTAAAATGTCATTTCTATTGAAACTTGTGTCATTGCACATTTGTAATCATTAAGTTGGCGTTTAGTACATTTAAAATATATTCACTTCAAATATGTAATGTCGAAAAACACACTACAGTTAAAAGTATAATCAAGCACTAGTATGTTACTGATTGTACTTTAGTCAACACGTCCAAAATAAGTGTATTTCAAAGCATGAAAAATGATTATCAAAACAATAATTTAAAATGTACTTTAAAGTAAAGCTTTTAAATTTGCCATTTATTTCAAAGTGAACTTAAATGTACTTAAGTGAGTTAAGACACGTAGTCATGAAATTATATTTTTCTTTTTTATTATATATCTGAAAATACATTTGTATACTTTTAAGATCTACAAGTCCACATTCAAAACAATGAAGCACAGTTCTTTTTCACAAGAGTAAATTGTACCGATGTGATAAACGTCTTGTCTGATGTGCCCTTGTGTGTTTTGTAGATTGATGAAAAGATCACTGCAAGGTATCAGCAGGTGATGCGGGAGTGGAAGGCATGTGAGGTCATTGTGAAACAGCGGGAGAAAGAGATGCAGTCGGCCATCTTTGCTAAGTTGTCATCAGGGAGCAGCATAGACAGCCACGTCCTCAGGCTCATCCATAGGGACTCCACTATTAGCAATGAGGTCAGTCATGGGCTCTGTTTAAGAATGTTATTGAACTTATAAACTCTAGGTGCGTTCCAATTGTCAGGGTCCCTACATAGTGTTCACTGCTCCCTACTCCATGGGGCATCCTTTGAAATGGACTTCGCTGACAATAATCACTCATTTGGAACTCTCTACACCTTCACCAAACTTTTGAATATTGAATGAAATGTATATGTATATATAGCATGTAGTTTTAGCATGTTGCTAATCTAACAGTTAAGTTTTTTAATATTGGGTAAAATAGTTTGTTTTTGATTACACATTTTGATACTTTTGAATATTGAATGAAATTAAATGTATATATGTAGTTTTAGCATGTTGCTAATCTAACTGTTACTTTTTTTTAATATCGGGTAAAATAGTTTATTTTTGATACATTTTTGAGTCTCAATTTATCATTTGGTGTTAGCATGTTGCTAAGGTAACAGTTCAATACTCTAATAAGCATAAACAAATGTGGCACACACAAATATTGGGTAAAATAGTGCTTTTGTTTCAATATCTTTCAGTATCGAATGAAATGTATGTTTATTTATCATCTAGGATTCTAAGAAGCATTGTATACCGTCGTCATATCCCATGCATCCCATCTCTACTCTCACTTTAGGTATTCATGTCTGTGGATGAGCCTGATGCAGGCGGTCACGACACCTCATGTGAAGGAGGGAATACTCCCACCTTAACCACTGTGGTCACCCCGGCCATGTTAGCCCCGGATGAGAGGCCTCTGGTGGAGTTTGACTCTCCAGACTCAGGCCTGCCCTCCTCCAGAAACTACTCCGTAGCCTCTGGACATTCCCAAATCATGTCCAGCATCGAAGACGGACAGAGCATGGAGGAGGACACTACACCCACTGGGGTATTGGAGGAGCAGGGTGGACGGGACTCTTTGAGCGAGGACAAACTCTGCAGTCAGCTGGACAAGCTCGCAACCACCACTGAGGGCTCTACACCATCTCTCTCCTCCTATACGGTACATCTCATGCAGATAATACATTATAGATATTTCATAAATCTTGTCAATTGGTCAGGTCTAGCTATCTAAAGCTGTTTTGAAACCAATGCTGTGCTTATGAGCAGATTGAGCTGTTGGACAGGGTGGCGCTGAACTTGCACAGAATAGACAAAGATGTCCAGCGCTGCGATCGCAACTACTATTACTTCACTACCAGCAACCTGGAGAAACTGCGCAACATCATGTGCAGGTCAGTAAAGGACAGTCTCTGGGATCTGCTTTGTGTCTCTCTCAGAATAGCAGCTCATTGAATTTCTAATCAGTCAGTCTGTTAGATTAATTGGAACTTAAATCATAGACTGTGATAGAACTCATTGAACTGAGGCTCAGTCTACCTCGGTCTCTCATGTCTTCGTCTCTGTTTTATGATCAGTTACGTGTGGGAACATCTGGAGATTGGCTATGTGCAAGGCATGTGTGACCTTCTAGCCCCTCTGATGGTCATTCTGGATGATGGTGAGCGAGACATAAATTTACATGTCTATGACGTAAAACATCTGTCTATAATGTTTATCGTATAAGCAATTTTATGAAATCCACTCGAGAGTGCTGTGACTCTGAGGTCATATGTTTAAAAAAAAAATATATATTTTTTAAAATATATATATAAAATATATATTTATATTTTATATACAGATGTAATATTATTATTATTTTACAGAACATTAATTAACATTTTGTAATATTTTTGAATGGTGTATTATAGACTCTTTCTCAAAATGAAGATTTTAAAAGTAAAATTATATTGAAGGAGTTTCACCACACTCATGATAAACAAGGTGCCAGACAGACAAGACTAGAAATCTCAAAAAAATAAATTAAATGTCTGCACACTTATATCCTTAAAGCAAATTTAATCACCAAGCTTTTGTTCAAAATGTCCTGAGGATGGTCTTTTGACCGAAAGCTTAGTGATTCAATTTGCTTTAAGGATTTAAGTGTGCGGACAGTTTTTTTTTTTTTTTTTTTTTTTTGAAAAGTAAAATTATACAAAACATAATATTTTTTAGGGCTGTTTTTAGGGACGATGAATCGCGATTAATCGCATCCAAAATAAAAGCATGTTTATGCATGCATGCACAAATGCATGTATATTTAAAAAAAAAATGTATTTATATATAAAATATTTATATTTATATATAATATAAATTATATATAAAAATTAATTTACAGAATATACATGAAAATATTTCTTAAATATATACAAGCATGTCTGTGTATTTATATATATAAAATAATTATACACAGTGCACCCACATATATTATGTAAGCACAACATTTGACAGCCCTAATATTTTTATATTATATATTGTAATATTTTTTTCAATATTAAAAGTTTAGGTAAATTTATATAGAACATTTTTTTTTATTATTATCATCATTATATTCCCTTCTCTTTAACCCCTAATATAATATGTAACATTTTACATTTGTATATATATATATGTATATATGATTTATTTATACTATTTTACAATATTTTTTTTTTCAATGTTTAAACTTTGAAAATAACATTTTAAATTCAAATGATATTTTTTCAACAAAATTTTCGGTTGAAATTCTATATAAAATATAACATTGTTATAACCATATTCTCTTCTTTTTAACCCCCTCTAAAGAGTACTTGGCCTACAGCTGTTTTACTCAGCTGATGAAAAGGATGAGTCAGAATTTCCCTACCGGAGGAGCCATGGACACTAATTTCGCCAATATGAGGTCACTGATTCAGGTAACATGACACATGACCTCTCTCCCTCTTCCTGCCTGAGTCACGCTGTGCTTTGCCTGATCCTCTGATGCAATCAGTGACATTATGAGCTCTTAACTTGGTGATTTTTCTTCAGATCCTTGACTCAGAGTTGTTTGAGCTCATGCATCAGAATGGAGATTACACCCATTTCTACTTCTGCTACCGCTGGTTCCTCCTGGACTTTAAAAGAGGTAGCGGCACACAGACACTCAAATGGAGCCTGAATGTTATCAAACTATGTGAAGATATTGTACCCTCATTGTTTAACTTGCTGTTTATTTTGTGTGTCTGTGTCAGAGCTTCTCTATGAGGATGTGTTTGCAGTATGGGAGGTTATCTGGGTCGCCCCTCGCATCTCCTCCAAGCACTTTGTCCTGTTCATTGCATTGGCCTTGGTGGAGGTGTACAGAGACATTATCCTAGACAACAACATGGACTTCACTGATATCATCAAGTTCTTTAATGGTGAGTGAACTGAACAGAGGACAGTTTTAAAGCTGAAGCGTTTCATTTGTGTGCCACTAGCATTGCTAAATTAAATAAACAGATTTTCCAAATACTTCCCCCCCATATTTCATTGATGAACTAAAGTAGATAGCATCACCCCAAACTAACACAATTGGTGGCGCCAACTGCATTCTGTGGAATCTTTCTCCATTGACGGCTAATCAAAATTCGGACAAAATAAATGGTGTTAACAAGATACACTACCATTTTGGTTAACGTACGGGGTTTATGTAAATTTTAGAGGAATGTGGTGTCGTCCCTACCAGCCGCTTGTTGTAGTTCTTAAAAAAACGGCAAATATCTCCATGTGCTTTGAACTTTGAGCGTCGCAACTTTGCAGATGTTGTTTATGCTCAAACAGCAACATTACACACTAACTAAAGTTAGAAAAGTGAAATCATAATCAACCACCCCTTTAAACAGTTATGCTGCTTTTGTGGAAACCATGATACTTTTTTCAGGATTCATGATGAATAGAAAGTTCAAAGAACCTCATTTATTTGACGTATAAATCTTCTGTAAGATATAAATGTTTTTACTGTCACTATTGAGCAATTTAATAATTCTGGTAAATAATATGTGAACAGTTGTCATAAACATGCATAAAACTGTGTCATGTCATGATTATGAAGGTGTCATGTTAGTCAACCGAGTGAAATGTGACATAAGCAATGTGAAAATGTCGCTCTTTTGAATCACTGTATTATTCGTGTTCCTCTCTGACAGAGATGGCCGAGCGCCACGACGTGCAGCACATCCTCCAAATAGCGCGGGAGCTGGTACACAAGGTGCAGACCCTAATCGAGAACAAGTGAGAACAAGAGTAGGCTGCTGCCCACCTCGCCGAATCTCCTTCTCTCCTTCCCAACAGCCCAAGGCTTGAGACTGCCCGGGATCTGCCTCGACGTCTTGACTCTTTGTATCGTTTGCCTGCCGCAGAATGCCGTTGTGTCAGACCCTGGCGTTGTCTGCATGCTCGTGGTGTTTGAGCACACTGTGACTGAGGTTTTTTCTTTTCCATTTCCTGCTGTAAACACCTCCAGCACACGCCGCACCAATCAGGTCCTTTTTAGATCTGCTTTTGTTAGACATGAGAAGCCTCGTACAGGGGTCGCAACCGACAAATGTTATTATTCCACTCTTAATGGAGACAACGATAATGTCTGCCTCGAATAAAACACGCCGTTGGTCAGTTTAGCCGAGCACAGTTTTTGATCCTCAAACGAAACTGAGTTAGCTCCTTTAATAACCAAGCCACGAAGAAGTCGTCCAAACAATGTGTGACCAAAAGGACTGTGCTAATAACCTTGTATTAGTATTTATTGTTTAGTGTCTTAATTGCCCCTTTTCGTTGACGGGGATGACGACGACGATCTCGGAATAAAAGTAGTTGACGTTGCCTTTGTAACACGTTTCACCACCTGTGTCCATACTTTTGCACTTTGAATCTGTCGCACCTGTGATGCTCCTTTATCACAGGAAGTGAAGGGGTTGAGGTGCTCGCGACACTTCCCTTATTGTCCTAAAGTCTGGAAAGGGTCCAGACTCTTCCACGGGTCAGCAAATGATGGAAAGAGTGTGACAAGACTAATCAGTCTTTAGTGTGTTCCATTTTAGATGCTGGTTGTCTTTATCTACTCCCCACATGCTTTGTTCACTCTGCACATACTGTACACTACTGTTTAAAAGTTTGGGGTCAGTAAGATTTTTCTTTTTTTTATATATATATATAAAGAAATTAGTACTTTTATTCAGCAAGGACACATTCAATTGTATTACAATTTTACAACATTTCAAATAAATGATGTTCTATATATCAAAAGCACAAGTTTTTTAACATTGATGTTAATAAAAAGATAGAGATACGCCAATCGCAGTACCAGTTATCAAATCAATCGGACTGACTGTTGTCTAGCTAATGCTGTAGCTAATGTTTTTTATTTTATTTTATAGCACCACCAAGTGTCCAGTCGCCGTGTCCTTTTTCACGTGACCACAGACCAAGGCCATACATACTGTATACGGTGAAATTATCACATTCCGTTCAATAGGAATAAATGCTTTAGTAAAAATGGCCACGCCCACTTCGAAATGTTGGTGTCCGTTAAAAAAAATTGTTTTTTAACTATTGATATATTGACATTCTCTTTCTGCGAGAGAAACCTTTCTGCACTGGTTTGGTTCCGTTTCGGCGAAAAACAAAGGACTGGTTGGCAAAAGTAGTTTTTTTTTTTTTATTTGTTTGTTTTTTTCTAGAAAAATCCAAAATACCCGAATATTTTGCCATGACGGGTGACTCCGAATCCGAGATGTGGATTCCAAACCAAGGATTCCATTGACACTTGAGCCTGCGATGAATGGTTTAGAATTTATGAGCTTTTACATATTTTGTATCGCTGTAGCGCCACCATCAGGTCGATTGGAGCGAGCCAAGGTGACGTTCTAGGCTACTACCATCCCTCACATTTTCAAGTCTCTAGGACTTACAGTTTGGTCTGCCCGATCACTCTTAGGGGAGAATGCTGATCCTTGGAAATTCTAACAATTACAAATACAAACATCTTACCAACCCCAAACTATTAAACAGAAGTTAACATAAATCCTGTCCCTATTTTCATGTCCAATCTTTATGACAAGTGATGAACTCGTACCATGTCCCGAATCATGAAAAACTACTAGCTACTTGAATAAATCTGAAATGATCTGACTGTTCAGACTGAAACGCATTTCAAAAATGTTTATTTTAAATGACAAATGTCACTAAATTTGACCTGCTTTCAGCACATTATGGCTGTATTTCATCAAACGTGTCTCATTGCTCTTGTTAGACACATTGCATACTGGTTGCACATTTTTAAGTATAATTCACTTCCATAGCCTACTGTCTTCCCCATTTTCCAAGTATTTGATGATTAAGGCTGTTCAAAATGGATTAACTAGTACTTCATACAGTTATACTATTTGTGTATTTTGGAAATAGTTATTGTGCAAAAAATCCACTTTTGGCATGCTGATCAAATTAATCAATATTGGAAATGATTAAATACTGCACATTTGGTCATCAGGGTATTTCATGGAAAATTCACACATTGTGCATAGTATGCATACTTTATACTGAAGATGGTAAAATGATTTTCTGAACAGCCTAAATCAGTCCTAGTCCAAAGCAAGTACTTTTATAACAGCTGACAGAGATTATGGGAGAAGAGTTCTTATGACATGACTGTTGGTCACTGCCTCACATCTTGCCAATTCCTTTATTTTGTTTCCGGTTGAATGCGAGGGATGTTTCGGCCCTTATGAAAGGTTTACTTCTGACAGGAGCTCATGTACCAAAGTCTCTAAAACATCATCATCATCATCTTTGTCATACCCATGTGCAATGTTAAACTCAAAGACTGTTGATAGGTGCATAAAAGGCTAATCATTTTTTTTCTACTGTGAAACAGTTTATTATCCTCCTTTCCATGTGTATTATTGCACTGTAAATAAAGAAAAAGCCCTGCATTTCTATGAAGACACTACTGTCAGCTGTATTTCAGACACTATTTTTTACTTCAGTTTAGAGACAGTGCTAGCCTGGAGAGCTGTCCAATTTGAATGTGGGAAACCTTTGTTACTCGTTTACTGTCATGTCCCTTATCAACATTGTGCACTGGTTTCTAATCGTTTAAAAATATATATATATATTATGTACATTTTTGTTTGGATGCCAACATCAGAATGAAGTATGTATTGTAACAGATGTGTCATTAATCTTGAATGTATACATGTATAATGACAAAAAGTTGTTCCTTCCAATTAAAACATTTTCATATGCAGAAAAACTCACTTTTAAATTCTGAATTGCTTGTATTGGAAGTTCAAACAGAAACTGATTGTATAATCTGGATGACATAATCAGATTCCTACAAAATAATTAGGAATCACGTGACCAAGCAAAGTTTAGAAAGAGAAAGAGCTTACTGGAGGAGTGGAATCCTGTTTCTTCACCGTAAATACGTTCTGGATACATTTTAAGTGCATCATTCTGTATCCAATCATTTGACCGGATCCTGTGATTTCCTAAGTTTTAATAACCACTAATGGTTGAGGAGAGATTCTGTGATATGATTGTAAACGCTTTGAGTGTAGGCTGAAAGTTGCAGTAGGAAGTTTTACACAAAATAAAATAAAAATTACGATATGCATGAATAAATCATTTATAATAAATTTTACAATACCCCCCCCCCCCCCAAAAAAAAAAGAAGTGTGGTAGCACTTTATTTTACAGTGTCCTTGTTACATGTAGTAACTCAATTAGACACAATTACATGCAACTGACCCTAAACCAAAGAATCATGCCAACCCTTCCTTTACAGTAAGTGCATGTAGTTAATTATTATTACTATAATTATTATTATTATTATTACTACTACAGTAGGCTTAAATGTATAATTACGCTGTAACACGGACACCTTAAAAATAAACTGTCACCAGAAATGTACTTTTTTTTTTTTCATGGTGACTTTAAATAATGATTAGGAACTCGATATGTATGTAGATGACTATAACTAAACTATCTGCACTGTGTGTTATTTGTGATCAAACAGGACAGTCAATATACCAGGATAGGTCAGTGGACAAATATTTCCTCAACAAGGTGGATATTGCAGCTCTCACATCAGAGGCTCGAGAAGGCATGTACAAACGGAAGGCTTATATTGATGAAGGGGTGATCACACATGATTTTGAGGTGAAGAAGTATGTTAAGTTACAATATCACTGTAGTATCTTTGAGTAACCACTAGGTGTCATTGCATTATAAGTGTTTTGTTTGATCTGGGAGTGAGTCATGTGATTTGCTGGAGGCATGGTGTGTATATGTCTTGCAAACAAACTAAGTAAAGTATTGACTTGAACTTTATAAATGTAGTTGTCCGCTTTCTGCAAAGATACTACAATCACAGAGCGTTTTTGAGAGCGATTACAGCATCAATCCTCATTTGAAATCTTTTTGATTTGATACCTAAGTTTGAAGTTACCATGATAGCTCCAAAAGAAATAAGTTTTAGACAGTGATAGCGAAATGAATCTAGTGCTTTGCGGGAAGTAAGTAAAGGTTTATCTTATTTTATTGTATATTATTGTTTTATGATAATATTGTATAATATAGCACTATTTTAAAGTATAACCCAAGCGGTGGCTGGTAAAGCACAGGTGTTTGGTTGAAACCACTGAGGTATGAGACTGTTACAGCATGTTTATAAACACATTTTCATCAGACACTGTTTTTAGTGGTTGTGTTTCTTCCAGCTGACTTTAGTTTATCAACTCTGATGGTTCATATTTATTTTTTCCAGATATGATGGTCTACAGGAAATGACTAACATGGTCATTGTCGATATTAAACTCTTATCTGGATTCACAGCTGATACATCAATGGTACGTTTGACTATGAGAAGCGATTCATTATAAGATAGATTTACTGTATGGTCTCTCTGATTATAATGTACTGTCTCTGTGAATCTACTGTAAGATGGTTTAGCTATGGCCAATATTTTACTCCTCACTTCTTGTTGAACAGCATGATAGTTTACAGAAAATAGCTCTCCAGTTGGGCATTGTAACAAATCATACTTTTTTTTAAAATCACTTTTCCACAAAGCACTTCAAGTGCATCACTTGTGAAACGGGTCGATTCTAAAGATGATCATGTCATCGTGTATCTGAAAGAGGTGGGAGAACTGCAACATTCATATGATAAGTTACAGTGATTACTTCACATTTTATCTAAAATCTTCAATCATTTCCATGATTTATGTTTATCCTCCTGCAGGTTCCAAAAAATATTCCCGTCAATCACCAATTACAATTAAAACAAATCTCAAGCCAGCTGTGATTAAAGTGTATGATTATTACCAAACAAGTTTATGTATCTTTTAAAATATAAAAACTAAATATTATGTGATTCAAAAGTATCAGTTGGCATTAAGCTAATTTCTCATTATCAACATTTCCCTCAGGTGATCTGTCAGAGACTGAGTGAGTGAAGTGTCATGCCTCAGTTCTGCAGCTCGGATAAATATATTTGAATGCTGACTAAATGTTTTTATTCAGTGTTTATTCCTTTTTCATGGGCAAATTAGTTTCCTGATTAGCCTTTGTTTTATTAAACCCAAACAAACTGAAGACACTTTGGTGAGATTATTTGTATTTTTGTTTTAGAGTTTCTTAAATACTATGGAAATATTTCAGTGTCAGATTAGATATTTTTCCTTGAGATAGTCTAAGTGCATCCTAATTCATATAATTATTCACTATTCTAAGCCATTTTATAGTTTAAATAGAATGAGTAGTTTGTTTCTATGCACTTTAATAACCAAAAAAAAAAAAAAAGAAATGATTGATGTACATACAGTATTGTACGCCATTTGGGACACAGCTACTGGCACAAGAATACATTTTCAATACATTCTAATGCTAAAAAGATTATGCAATTACAGGAATGGGGTTAAGATCCATGACAGCGGAGATCAATGTACTATAGAAATCTGTTTAAATGAATATACAAAACAGAAATGTTCTTTTAGTTTTTGTTGTTGTTGACATTTCTGATTACTTGAAAGAACATGAATGATGTGTTAAGCATTAGATAATTGGGTAATGTTAGTTAATTCTCATTTATGCTCCATTTATGAATTTGCGCTCATGAAAATATTCCTGTTGCTGAATTAGGTGTCATCAAATACAGTATAACGCTTGCATCTGTGGCTGTATAAACTGCAAGAAAGACTGCAATCAGATATCGCAAGTTACCAAGTTACCAATCTAATTACGAAGTTAATTAGAAAATCATGTTTATATATATATATTTATATATATTTGGGGTTGCTTGAGAGTGTGGTGAGGTCCATCATGTGTCTAAAAAGACTGAAAATCCCTGATGTACAGTATTCTTTAATGCCAAAATACATCCAAAACAGGTTAAAAACCGGAAGATAGATCGAAAATACTAATCTAGGATTCACAGTGGAGATAAACAGAACAAGGTTCAAAATAATCACTAAACCAATACAAGAACGATTGCTCAGAATTGCAGAGACACTGCTAGACCTCGCAAAGATGAGAGCAATGAATATAGAATATAGATAATGTTAATTTTCAGGAGAATAAAGGTAACGACATGACAAAAAACAGGGCTATAATAATTAAAATGTACTTTAGCAATATTTACATTGACATTTAATCATTTAGCAGACTATTTTATCAATAGCAACTTGCAACTGAGTAGAGTAGAAGCAATCAGACCAACAATAGGGCAACAATGTTAAAGTGTTAGTCTGACACACGTAGCATACACATATGAAACCTATGACACTGAACATCTGTTAAGAAATTGAAATAATTATAGCAAAAAATAACGGGTATTGCATATATTTTAGGTGACTTTCAGTAACCTTGTTTAGTCGTATTGTGAAGGCAGAGAATTTGCTAATGCAAACACCAGCTTACAGTAACTCCCCCTCTCAGTTTGAGTGAGTGGGTGTATGTATGTCCACTGGATGTTAATTATCAGTTGTCATGGCCCACTGTTTGTCTACATGGATTTAAAGGTCAGTAGATCTACATTTTTCAGATGAGGATAAGAGTAGGAGTTTGTTTTCAGATCACATGTACACTTATATACTTTAAAGAGCTGAGTTGATTTCTTGCATGTTTTTGACTACTAAGAACTGAACTGCCCAAATTCCCTTTTGACTGCGGATAAAATGACTTACATTTACATGCTTGGATATTCCAACACGCAACCTTAAAGTTGTTTAACCCTGAATTATGCAGTCAGGTACATTCATAATGAATTGAATGAAGGAGTAAAGCAAAAGCGTGTCTTGAACTGCTTGTATTTATCATTAATTGAACTCGTCACAAATGAATTTTTGGACAAACAACAAATTGCATTTTAGCACAGGTTGTTTAACTGCATTGCCTACATGGTTGAATCATTAATCAGATGATCAATACAGATGTTTTGAAGGACCTCCTTTAGCTAGAGTCCCTTTAAAAGAGACGGTCCAGTTCATCTCATGACCTGCTGATCGCTCGTCATCATGACTGTGAACATCAGCTGCTGTTGGAAAGGGCTCCTTCTGCTCTCTTTCCTCCTGAACTGTGTCAATGGACAAACATCCGGACCGTAAGTTTTTAACAATTTCTGCTGAGGAACACTGTGTTTTGCTTTCTAAGTGTGATAAATTATTATACCATTAGTTAATGTGTAAGATAAGTCTCGATAATTTCTCCTGTATTGATTTAACATATCGCTGTTGCGCTGTTGAACTTAAGGCACGCCGTATATAACCCTACATAATTACGTATTTTTAAGAGAAATAGTGTTCTTTTTTTAATTAAAAAATTAAGTCATTAGACTTCAATACACAGTTTGCCCTTGTATTCTCACTTCTCATATGATTAATCAATAGCGAATTAACTTTATTGATTTTCTCTCCCAGTTAATTTGTTATGGTTCTTATTGTATAATCATTATCTTTCAACAGATCTTTCATGGTGACGTTTCCTGCAGTGATCGGGTCTGGATCTGAGGCCAAACTGTGTGCAAGTCTTCTCAAGCCCAATGAAAGCCTTTTCATGAACATTCATGTGGTTCATGGTAACCAGAGCACTTTACTGCTGCGTGTGAAAGCTGAGAAAGAGTTTCACCGCTGCTTTAACGTCAAGGTTTGCCATCAAAACATACACATGATGATTATTATCAAATCTATTTCACTTTATCGCATCTAGTTTTTGTGAAGGCAGGTTGTAAATATAGTATATTATTTCTCATCAGGCTCCTCTGGTCGAAGCAGATTCAGTGCAGAAAATGAAGGTCGAACTACTGGGAGAAACTTTCAAGATGACTGAAGAGAGAAAAGTCATGTTCAGGCCTTACCATCCTCTGACCTTTATCCAGACTGATAAACCTATCTATATTCCAGGACAGACAGGTGAGCTTTGAATGTCTCGAAGGCTAAACCAAAGTAAATAATACTGATGTCACTGTAAAATACAAAATATACAGTATGTTAAGTAAAGCTTGCTATGATCATGCAACGAGCTGATGTAGCACCAAAGGTCAAAAATGTTGCACAAACCAGAAGATGATAAAAGTAAACTGTTCAATGAATTTACAAACTTGTAAACATAAAAGAGGAGCATAAGGAAAGCAGATAAGAGCTGACAGCCAAAAGTGGAGTTGTTGTTTTTTTTAATTCACATTTCTATTTTACAGTGAACTTCAGAGTTGTTACCATGGATACAAACTTTGCACCCCTTGATCAGCAGGTCTGATGTGTTTTTCTTACATCTTTATTGTTCTTGTTTTCTCTTGCATTGTTGAATACATGTTTTTGGCTTTTAATCTTTAATTACTATTTGCTCTTTTACAGTATAGTACAGTGGTTCTTGAGGTAAGAACACAAAACCTTGTGTGCAGTCATAACTAACACAACTTTTAAATCTTATTAACACTATGGGAATTCTGTTATATTAGCAATTATTGTATTTTCAGTTGGCTAATAATACATTTCTTTATTGATAGTGAAGATATGTGTAGCTGACTGTAACTAAATATCTCTGGTATTAAACAGGACGGTCAACGTAACCGTATTGGTCAATGGACAAATGTTTCTTCTACAAGGTGGATTTTGCAGCGCTCTTATGAACTAAACCCAGAGGCCCGTCAAGGCATGTACAAACTGAAGGCTTTTATTGGTGACAGGATGATCTCTCATAATTTTGAGGTGAAAAAATATGGTAAGTTTTTTTTTTTTTTTTTTTTAAATGATTTGCAATGTTGGATGGGAAGAATTTCAATAATTTAAAAGGGAATGTCTCGGGTTACTTGACTGTAACCCTGTTCCCTGAAAAAAAACAGTAATGAGATGCTGCGCTGAGTGCTAAGGGAAAACATCTTTGTTTGACCGGTTGTGAACACATGCGGCAAACACGGCAAAAATTACACTTAAATAATCTCTGCTGATGACGTCATTGTAATGCGCAAATCAGAGGCTATAAACAGACGTGTGACAGATGCGCTTTCAGGTCACTGTCTAAAGAATGTTCTGAACATGCGTTCCCTTTTAAAACGTTTAAAACGACGTTCCCCTTTAAAAGCTACTCTCAATGCTGCGCTGAATGCTATGGGAACGAGAACTGGAAGTGTCTGGAGGGGCAAGGTTGTTTAGTGTGTATGCACAAACACGATAATGGCCTCATGCATGATTCTGGGATGTCGACTCAAGGACATCCAAACTATAGAATATAATAAATGTGGTGTGCAGAGAGGATACACATACTTGCTGCATCTGGGCACCTCTTGCTAAAGCTCTGGAGGATGCAATCCCCCTGGTAGAAATAATTCAACCAAAGTTCACACAGAGGCTTGTGTGATGACATCTCTCACCCAAAGAGACATAGGGCATTTCTCAATACCAAGTATGCAAACTTCGGACTTGCGTCCTTGGTAGTTCAGACTTGCCCGTTACTCAAGCTCAAGGACCTCATGATCTGATGAAGAACAAGAGAAAGGGAAGGATGGAACCTCAAAGCTCACCTGTCTAAAGTATTTATAGCCTCTGGCGTCCGCATGCCGAGGTTATTTAAGCCAAATTCTCTGCATATTTGCCACACGTATCGTGTTCACAACCAGTCAAACAAAGATGTTTTCCCATAGCGCTCAGCGCAGCATTGAGAGCATCTTTTGAAAGGGAACTCTAATTGCGCCTTTCTGACTTCTAGTTTTGCCTAAGTTTGACGTTACTGTAAAGAGCCCAAAGGAAGTGAGTGTTGAAGAAGAGGAACTGATAATTGAGGTTTGCGGAAAGTGAGTGGTTTATTTTATTTCCTACATTAAGAGAGCATTGTGTTCTTTCCAATCTTGGCACAATTAAGTTACTTTAATTTAATTGATAATTGTTTTATTTTTTTATTTTTTTTTAACTGTGGTCATTTATTTACTGTAACCCCATCCAAATCTATTAGTTGCTGAGCTCAACCCTGGGTTATATATCCTTTGCTTGTACCGTTTTCACAGATACACGTATGGACAGCCTGTCCCTGGTAAATCATGGGTGAAAGTCTGCCGTAATAGTTTGTCCTACCAGTCCGATCAGACCGATCCAGTGTGTTTAGAGGAAACCATGGAGGTATGTGAGTTAAAAGGCAGTATAAGTAATGGCACATCCTCTTTCCTTTATTTATCCAGTTAAACCACTCTACAGTCATCATGCTATCTTTGTGTTCATTCCTTATAATTAGATAAAAAAGACGGGCTGTGCCATCCATACCTTAGATACATCAGTTTTTTTGAACGAAACACTAAAGGATAGTCTGGAGAATTCTTTTGATATTGAGGCAAAGGTTACAGAAGAAGGAACAGGTGAGCTGCCGGATTTGGTCAGATCCCGTTAATTACGTTTCTTGAATTTCTCATTTTTTTATGTTTTACTTTTATTTTACTTTAAAGAATATTTATTTTTTTATTTTTTACTTTTTACAGAGATCACCATGACAAAATCTGAATCTTTAACTCTCACTTATGAAATTGGTAAAGCCTCATTTACTGAGCTGCCCAAAACATATGAACATGGATCACTTATAGAAGGAAAAGTAAGTTCTTAAATCAGTTTGTCTCAGTTTAACACCATTGATATGTGCAGAATTATTCATTTATTTATTTCTTCAAAATCTTATTTTACAGATCAAACTCTCAAATTTCAAAGGTGCACCAATTCAAAACAAAGTGGTTTATCTATTGGAGGGTAACATCTGGCCCACAAAACTGCTCCTAAATCTCACTACAGACAGCGATGGACTGGCCAGCTTCTCTCTTAATACGTCCAGTCATTATAAAAGTGATATTAATCTGATTGTAAGATATGTTTGTGTTCACTTAGTTTTGTGTTCCCTGAAGACTTTAATTGCATGAGTTATTTCTGATTCTTTGTTATCCAGGCAAGTGTCTCTCAAGAGGGCCGTTCTTATGACTACAACAAGCCTTACTTCTCTACTGAAGAAAAAACAGTCCAGCTCTTCCAGCCTGCCACTCCATACGCCCCAACACTAAGTGAATTGATTATAGAGAATTCTGAGCAACCATTAAAGTGTGACTCTGAGTTTACGGCCACCATCAAGTATTATTTTATTGGAGAGACTGTTGAAGACTTCAAAACAGACATTGTCTATATGGTGGGAACATGTGCAGTATTTATATTATTCATACAGAGATGTTTTTATTTAACAGTTTGTTATTAGAGTGTCATCTGTCTGTTTCAGGTCTTGTCCAAAGGAGTGATCGTTCATCATGGATATGAGAAGGTTGAAGTGAAGTCTTCTAATGGAGCAAGTGGCACAATGTCGTTCATACTGTCTGTTGGTTCAGATCTGGCTCCTGTACTGCAGATTCTGGCTTACTGTGTTCTGCCCAGTAAAAATGTTGTTGCTAGTAGCAAAAATTTCATCATTGAAAAGTGTTTCAAAAACAAGGTATGTATCGTGGCTTTAGAAATTAGTCTCTCTTTACTTTACTTTACTTTACTTTACTTTACTTTACTGTATTATACAATACATTTATTGTATATACAGGTGAAACCTGAAGAAATTTAATATCGTGCAAAAGTTCATTAATTTCAGTAATTCAACTTAAAAGGTGAAACTAATATATCAAATGGACTCATTACATGCAAAGTGAGATATTTCAAGCCTTTATTTGTTATAATTTTTATGATTATGGCTTACAGCTTATGAAATCCCCAAATTCATAAGCTGTAAGCCATAATCATCTCGAAATATCTCACTTTGGATGTAATGAGTCTATATAATATATTAGTTTAATCTTTTAAGTTGAATTGCTGAAATAAATGAACTTTAGTACGATGGTCGAATTATTTTAGTTCCACCTACTTTACTGTATTACTAAAAGAAATCCTCTTCACTGTACGTCACAGGTGTCTCTGCAGTTTTCTCCTGCTAAAGCGGTTCCTGGTGAGAAAAACACTCTCCAGCTCTCAGCTCAGCCTGGTTCACTGTGTGGCCTCAGCGCTGTAGATCAGAGCGTCCTGATCCTGGAGTCAGGAAAACGTCTGGATACTGACAAGGTGTAGATGCTTTAAGATTCAGTATGTGTCTTCATAGTGGGAATCTCCAGTGGGAATTTAGTGACAACAGACTTTAGTTATTACTACTATGATCTCGTGGAAAAATTACTTGGGTCAAGTCAAGTCAAGTATATTTATATAGCGCTTTTCACAATATAGATTGCATCAAAGCAGCTATCAATCAAAACAGAAGAACAATGTTCTTGGGGGAGGTCAAAATTAAATTCAGACCAGGAATTTGTCTTTTACAACTTTATACTTGCAGCCAGAAGGTTGTCTGACATACAGAACAATCCTCTGTCCTCAGGGAGATTTTGTACACAAGTTTCAACACAGCATAGAACAAATAGAAAACAACCTAATATGTTGTTTAAAACCCTCATGTGATATACATACTCATGACACACTACTCGTAATGGCACATGCAACACACATATTTGTAATTTTACATTACATTCGTGTTTCTATAAATAAGAGATTTAACATGAATCTTTATTCTTTTCTCACGAAAATGGAATTAAAGTTTTGTTAAAAATAGACAAATTACTCAGAAATCATACTGATAGTGTGTGAACGTGGTCTCGTCACAGGTCTTCAACTTGCTGCCAGTGCAGTCGGGGTCAGATTATCCTTATTCTGTTGAAGATGAGCGGGAGTGTCTGCAAGTGAGACCCCGTCGAGCTGTGCCGACAGACAACGCCTATGAATCCTTAAAGGTAACAAGCGGATTATATGTGTGGCAGTGCACTAGATAATGATTAGGAGAGAATTTACTGCACATGCATATGTAAACCCATAAAAAGCTCTCTTGATTATTCTGACAATAAAAAGTAATTTGTGTTTTCATGACTTTGATTGTGGTTCATCATTATTATTTGACAGAGAGTGGGATTGAAGATGGCAACAAATTTGGAAGTGCGAGTTCCTCAGTGTCTGTCATACAGAGGCTTGATGTATCAACTAAACCGTTATAGAGGTACATGTACTGTTATTACAATCAAAGCTGTAATGGTTTAATATGTAGGTGCTTGTTATGAAATATTATTTAAAAAATATATGTTAAATTTGTGAAATTGCGAAGCTCACACAATTCGTACAATTCCACAATTATAGTAGGAGAAGACAGTTTTCCTGGGGTCATTAGTTAACTTTGAGTCGGTGTTATTATTGGTAAAAACTATTAAACTTATATATAACTGTGATGAGGTTTAGGTTGGAAGGAAGAAGACAGGGTCAGCGTGACTGGGACTGGCACAATTTTTTTTTAACAAACAAAAGGTGCGCCCACAGCGTGTTCACTGTAGTTCACTACAGCACAAAATAAAATAAATATAAAAAATAAAACTAAATAAACTGAAAATAAAAACTAAATAAACTGAAAGTATAAAACTCTGACAAGAATAAAATATATCTGTATTTGAAAAAAAAAAATATGTGTATTAAAATGATGATCTGCCATCCATTTTCTGTTTACTTAGTGTTGTTCACATACTGTACATATTACTTAAAACAATAAAATATAACTTTTTTTTTTACAGTGATGTATCATTACGAAGGTGTTCCAGCGGGAGTGATGTCTTCACGAATGGAATCTGATTATGATAATGACATATATGCTCCAGTAGTGACGATTCGGACAGTCTTTCCAGAAACGTGGATTTGGGAACTTGCTGAAGTGGGGTATGTACAGGGATGGGCAGTATTTCAGATACATGTATTTAAAATACGTATTTGAAATACAAAATACTATTTTGTATTTTGTATTTTAAAGCCTTTGGAAAAAATCGAATGTAATTTGTATTTAAATACATTTAAGATTAGTATTTTTGTATTTTCAAAATACTCAAAATACTTTGAGCCAGAATCCTAGAAGATCAGAGGAAGGATTTGGACATCTTGAACCAGTATCCAGTTATTAGACAGCTGTTTGTGAGGTTCAACACAATTATTCCCTCTTCAGCTCCTGTAGAGCGCTTGCAATAGGCCACACAGACGACGCCTTATAAACCCAAACTTTTTGAAAAGCTGGTGTTGCTAAAGGGTATCGAATAGATGGATGTCTGATACACATAGGTACACAACCTGGAGGAGTACACCATCAGTTATTTAAAATATAATTTACTTTGTCTTATTGAGTTCTTGTTACTGAGTGCGAGGTAATGATTGTGATAAAACATAGTAAAAGATGTTTGAAATTAGTTTTTTTTCTAGTTTTGTATTTCCTACAGGGCTGGGGAAGGGAAGAGGTATATAAAATAAAAACGAAAGTTTCTAAGTAGTTGCACACATCTAAATATTTGCTGGCGTTCAGAATAGGCCCAGATAGATTTCAGCCTAATAGGGATCCCTGCACTGAATCGTTAATGTCACATGTATTTTCAAAATACAAAATACTGTATTTGTATTTAAATACATTTTTCCACACAGTATTTTGTATTTGTATTTGAATACATTTACATGTATTTATGCCCATCCCTGGGTATGTAAAATGTAATCGGTGCATTTAACATCATATTTATCTTATCTTATTACTCCTCTTTAAAGCATCGTCTCCCCTACTTCACACAGGACAGAAAATACAGATTCTGAATCCAGTTATTTTATCATTTGTGTGCTGAATGTTGTTATATAATACAGGAAAAATGGCTGAGTCAGATCAAATATTGTTGTAATCCCTCCGCAGGGACTCTGGATCAGCGCAGGTTCCTGTCACGGTTCCTGACACCATCACCTCTTGGGAGACGGAGGTCTTCTGTCTGTCCTCTGAAGGTCTGGGTCTCGCTCCTCCTGCTCAGCTGACAGTTTTCCAGCCCTTCTTCCTGGAGCTCTCTCTGCCTTACTCCATCATCCGTGGGGAGATCTTTGAGCTGAAGGCCACCGTCTTCAGTTATCTGTCCAAGTGCATCATGGTGAGATTTCAGACTCAGTCTAATCAAATCATATCAAATATGCCACTAATCATGTGTGGTTGATTGACAGGTTAAAGTGACTCCAGCTCCATCCTCAGACTACACTCTCAAAGCCTCCTCTGATGATCCGTATTCATCCTGTCTATGTGCTAATGAAAGAAAAACCTTTAAATGGATCCTCACTCCTTCTGTTCTTGGTGAGTTTTCCAGTCTGAATCATTGTTTCTCAGTGTTTGCGTCTGTTGTGTCTTCACGTACATGTCTTGTGTTGTAGGAGTCTTGAATATTACTGTCAGTGCAGAGGCAGAGGCGTCCCAGACTGTGTGTGACAATGAGATTGTGAGCGTCCCAGAGAGAGGACGCATTGACACGGTCACACGAAGTCTGCTTGTACAGGTCAGCGCATGCCAAATATCTCTGAGATATCATTTACCATTTATGTGATTGTGGTTGATGTGATTGTTTTATGCTGCAGGCGGAAGGAACTGAAAAGACAGAGACTCAAAGCTGGTTATTGTGTCCAAAGGGTTTGTCCACAGAATTTTTTTTAGATTTTATTTTTATGTTATTTGATATTAAACCATAGCGTTACTCTGCTGATCACTGATGTTTCTGTCTGTCTGGTTTGTAGGTGAAAGTCTCTCAGAGGAAGTGGATCTGACTCTCCCTAAAGATGTGATAGAGGGATCAGCCAGAGCCTCTGTTTCAGTCATTGGTAAAATGTACAAATACAAGCACAAATGAGGAGATTGGGTTTGGATTTATAAAATGTAGTTTAATTTGTGTATGGTTTATAGGCGACATATTGGGTCGTGCACTGAGCAATCTTCACGGATTATTACGGATGCCGTACGGCTGTGGAGAGCAAAACATGGCTGTTCTTTCTCCCAATATTTACATTCTGCAGTATCTGGAGAACACAGAGCAGCTCACCTCAGCCATCCGAGAGAGAGCCACAGGCTTCCTGAAGAGCGGTGAGAGACAGCAATCGTGTCAAGGAAATACTGAGAAAATACTGCCAAATTATACATTTTTCAATACATCTGAATGTCATCCAGTAGAGTTGAATAATCAGAGACACTGAGTCAACTTAAACAAACTGTTGAAGTGTTAACCATTATCACACCCAACAGGATACCAGAGACAAATGAACTACAAGCATTCGGATGGATCATACAGCACATTTGGTTATGGTGTTGGAAATACATGGTAAATATATTTTCACAATTACTTTTGTTAAACAGAAATAATATCAAGATAATCTACAATAATAAACCCAAGAGAATAGTACAAAAAACACATTTAAGAATGTGTCTCAGTTCAAATTGTTTCATGGATGGAATTCATTAAAACACTTGATGAGATTTCTTTTTTAATTTTATCTTCCACACCACCAGGTTGACTGCCTTTGTGTTGAGGTCTTTTGGCAGAGCACAGAAATACATATTTGTTGATCCAGAAATTATCCAGGATGCAAAGAATTGGTTAATAAGTAGACGGGATTCAGACGGCTGTTTTATCCAACAGGGAAGCTTGTTCAACAACAGAATGAAGGTCTGTCAACTTCAATCCATATCTCTCTATATAGAACACCATAGCAAAAATGGTCTAGTAACTATCTAAAAAACCTGGAATCTAAGACCTGTAAAAGTTTGAGCTTTTTTAAAATATAAAGACGTTCGCAGCCAACATCACAGCCAATAGTTTGTGGTAGATTTTTTTCTTCTTTCACACACGACTTAAGTCTACTTGGGTCTACAGTCAGTCGATGTCGGCGTTAGTTTCCCTGTATCTGGGTCTTGTCTACAAACGTTGTCCCCATTCAGTAATATTTTTGACATGATACATTACATAACTCCCATACAATTTGATTAGATCTCAAATCATTAGAAAAATAGAAAAGGGTTAGAAGGTCATTTGATTACTCAGTATGTCATTAAACTAAGTCTAGACAGTATATTTTTTATATTTTCTAGCCAGCATCTCAGAAGTTTCCTCTGGTTTCAAGACAAACTTCAGAGTACAATTTGTTCAAGTGGTAGAATGTTAGGCCTAAAGGAGAAGGTTAGATATTAGAGTTATGATTAGCTTGATAAACAGTTTACTATTTTATTCATTAAAAAAAAATCACAAGTTTGAGTGTGTTGCTTTATTTACAGTATCCTTCATTTCTCATATATCCCAGGGTGGCGTGAATGATAATGTGACCATGACTGCCTACATTACTGCATCATTGCTTGAACTGGAAACTCCGGTCACAGTAAGTTCATCTTCAGGAAACACATTATAAACTCAAAGAGAAATGACACTCACAGTGTCTGTTTCTGTTTTTGTCACAGGATCCTGTCGTCAGTAAAGGTTTGTCATGCTTGAGGTCCGTCATTGAGGATGTCAAAAACATTTACATCACTGCTCTGCTCGCCTACACTTTCAGTCTGGCTAAAGACACGGACACTCGACAGCAGCTTTTCAAGAAACTGGAGGATGTTGCTATTTCAGACGGTAAGAGGTTTGTTTCTGATGACTTTCTGTTGTCTTTCCTGTCTTTTTATCATGCTCATTGAGTTACGCGTGTGTCTTTTGTCCTCAAGGGTCTCATCTCCACTGGTCTCAGTCTGCATCTGCTGGTGACTCTGATTCTCTGGCAGTGGAGATCAGCTCATATGTGCTGCTAGCTGTTCTCTCTGCAGATTCAGTCACTACAGCTGATCTGGGCTATGCTAACAGGATTGTCAGTTGGCTTGTGAAGCAGCAGAATGCCTATGGAGGATTCTCCTCCACACAGGTGACTCAAACTAGTCCAATCAAACACATTATTACTGGTGTGAATGAGTAAAAGTGACATTACTGAACACACTTATTTCCCAGGACACAGTGGTGGCTCTTCAGGCTCTGTCTCTGTACGCCACCAAAGTGTTCAGCTCTGACGGCTCCAGCACAGTGACTGTACAGTCAGCAGGAGACACTCACCACTTTGATGTCAATCAGGACAACAAGTTACTGTACCAGGAGAAGCAGCTGCTTACCGTTCCAGCCAAATACAGCATTGAAGTGAAGGGCTCAACCTGTGTGTCTGTGCAGGTCTGTAGTGCGTTCAGCTTCATTTACTCACACTCCCTTTCTTTCTTGGCATTGTGGTTATTCTGCTGTGGATGGTTCATTAATTTATTTTGGTTTGTGTTGACTCTCAGATGGCTCAGTTCTACAACATTCCCACTCCTACTGAAGCTAAAACATTGAGCATTGATGCTAAGATTGAGGGAGATTGCAAAACATTGGGACAAAATTTCATTTTGAATTTCACTGTCAAGTAAGAAAATCTCTATTCAGTTCAAGTCAAAAGACTAACAAATAAATCTTTACTTAATATCATTTAAAAAAGCAATATAAATTGAAATGGCATATCTCAGTATTTAAAACTGCAACACTAACTCTAGAAACAAGAAAACATTTTTTTTATTACTGACACATTATGAGTGATGATAACTGCACGAGTCTTGTTAATTATATTGGCTTTTGTTCTCGCATTTAAGAACCAAACCTTTTCGTTTGCTCTTTTCCAGATATGATGGTCTACAGGAAATGACTAACATGGTCATTGTGGATATTAAAGTCTTATCTGGATTCACAGCTGATACATCAATGGTGTGTTTGAGTGACTCATCACAGAATGTGTAAAGTTTAGAGTTCACTATTAAGAAATTAACCAGCACTTTTCCCCCACAGCTTGGAACATACTTACCATTTGTGGAACGGGTTGATTCTAAAGATGATCATGTCATTGTGTATTTGAAGGAGGTGAGAAAACAGCAACATTCATATTATTTGAAGTCACTAGATCGATTCATAAACATTTTATCTGTAATTTCCATACCTGGTGTGTTTGTTTCCTCCCTCAGATTCATCAAAATATTCCAATGAATTACCAGATACAATTGAAACAGATTCTTCCAGTGAAGAATCTCAAACCAGCTGTGGTCAAAGTGTACGATTACTACCAAACAAGTAAGATTTAATTTGCCAGTGTTGAATGTTTTGATCATCTAATGCACATTGTTTATTCAGATTTACAGGTTTTCATTGTTCTATGAATGTGAACATCTTTCTTTTCCTTCAGGTGATCAGTCAGAGGCCGAGTACTCCTTTCCCTGTGAATGAAGCTGCTGAAGTTCATCAAGATATTTGAACATTCTAATGTTTAATATTACAATGTTAATTATATATCCTGTGCAAAATTATTTCCAATATCATCCCAAAATAGGGATTTTTCAGTTTTTGTGGACACATCTCTCAAGAACATGACTATTCAATTCACAATATGATTAATAAAAGTGATGTAAATTAGTTATAGTGAATGATTATGAATATATGACTTGATAAAACAAATAAACTATTAATTTAACATTTCATAATCAGACAAGATAGTTTATGAAGATATATCGTGAATTTGTTTTTTATCTTAACTCGCCTTTATCTTGTTTTCACACTCTGTAAGAAGGTAATTTTGGTTTCATTGTAGGTCCTCATGCTGTAGAATAGACAATCAAAATATGAACAGATATCAATCACAAATCACCTTACCTAAAGTCATTGAAAGGTCAGAAACTTCACTCATCCCATCAACGGCAGTAACTCAAAGACAGACACTATTGTTCTTAAAAACCAGAAGAACTCCCCAGCCCAGGAACTCACTCAAAGCACACAGGTTCGTTATCAACAAAGAAATTGTCAGAGACGTGAAGTGTCAATAAGCCCCTCCAGAAGACGCTCCTTCCGAATTTATTGTTCTCTCATTATAAACTACATTCCCCACAATCCTGTGCCTGGACTCACTCAAGTAATAAAGTATTCTCGTGAGTGTATAATATGCCATTGAAAATACATATGGGTAATGTCGGTTGCCATGTTGCCCCTCCATCTTGAAAGTACATTAACCAAAGAGGGACATACCCGTTAATTCAAGCTTCGCCTTTCGCGCTTACGTTTGAGTTAACACTAGGTCGAAGCCATGTTAATCTTGGACTGCATTGGCCACCGTAGGAGTTAAAACGAAATCGGAATTGAGAGGACCAGAAACTAATATTCCCTGGATGGTCATATACCTTTTCACCGCTAGAGGGGGGTAAAAATCACACAGTGTAGCTTTAAAAAAAAGTTTGGAAACCAATTGCCTTATTTTTGCAAATCAAACTTTGAAAACTGAAGTTAAGTTAATAATCAGTTTAATAATCAAATTCAGTTAATAAAAGTCAAGAAAGCAAACTCTTTCAGAGTAAATTAAGTAATACATATCAAGTTAGTTAGTTTAATGTAAAGTTCTAGTTAACATACTCAATAATAGTAACTAATACTTTTTAAGATTTTATAGTAAGATCACTAGAGTAATTCCATGTAACTAAAAGTGTTATAATGTGTTCTGCAAACATCTAAAATACTATTATTATCAACATGGTTTTAATTTTTTAAGCTACAGAGACTTAAAAAAAATATGTGCAAATGCAATCTGTTTCCACATTTTACCATTTTTTGGTAAAAAACAAAACAAAACACGTTTTTACAGATTAAGAACATCACAATAAAAATATATTTTAAAACATCTGTGTTCTCTTGACCTCTTGGCTAGCATGAGCATCATGACATTTTGGTAACCTGTCACAAATATGTCATAACAGGTCTAATTATCAAACTTAAAGAAGTTATTTAGCTTTGCGTTAACATTACATTACCCTGTCATAACTGGTTGGTTTTGACTTTGGCCGTCATGACACCATAACTCTGTCATGAATATTTTACTTGTCCTCAAGTAAAGTGGAACACATTGTACTAGTTATAAAGATGTCATTAAGGGTTATTACACTGTCAAATGCTTTAACAACACTTTCATTAATATTTCCCCTTACCTCAAGTAAAGTGGTTTATCACAGGTTATGATTTCTTGGTTAATGTCAAGTTGTCATAACAAAGAAATTTCTGTCTTTGTTAATGTCAAGTTGTCATAACAAAGACATTTTTGTCTTTGTTAATGTCAAGTTGTCATAACAAAGACAATTTAAACAATGTCAACTTTGCATTAAAAGTGTCATGATTTACCGAATGACACTTAATGACAACTGTTGGAGAGGCTTTGGACTGTTAGGTTTGGATTAGGTAATGGATGAGTAAACCCTTCTGGGTGCCGGTAAGAGCACAAATAATGAGGAGACAGGTGGTCAGATTAATTTGGTGTATTGTAGATAGATGGATGGGCCACAACTGTATATTCAATGATGTACATAGTTTTGAGGGCAATGACTAACATCACAATATTAGAGTTGCACCAATCACCCTGAACGAACAGAAATCAACATTACAGCTGACAGCTCTCACAGATTACATGCACTCAGCAGATAGCGGCAATTGACTGTACACAGTTCTGCAGGTTACCATATCTACTGTTTCAGAATAAAAGTCCCGACTGAATGAGCCTTTAATACAGCCGCCCCCAAAGATGTGGAGCATCTTTGCTGCCATGAAAGGCGACTTCACTCATTAGCTGCTAGAAGCATCAGGATCATCCTTAGGTAAGGCTGGCAGGATGACTAGGCGGGCTACTGGTCTGGTATAAACTTGGTCCTTTATCTGCACGTCCGCTGAACGGATTTGACCATCCAGGCTCAGGTGAGTTTTGATAACTTGTCCCACAGGCCATAAACCACGAGGTAATTGGGGGTCGACAACTAAAACAAATGTTTTTTCCTTCAAGTTAGGGGGAGAGGCTTGCCATTTCTGGCGAGTTTGAAGGCTGGGAAGATAGTCCCTGATGAACCTTGACCAGAATTGGTCCGCTATGACCTGGGAATGTCGCCAGCGCCGGCGACTTAGCATCTCTGATTCTGGGTAAATGACTTGAGGCAGAGATCCATCCGGCCGCCCCATGAGGAAACTATTTGGCGTCACTGGGTCAGTATCTGCAATATCGGACGATACGTAACCCAAGGGTTTTGAATTCAGGATGGCCTCTACCTCCAGCAAGACAGTCATCAACACTTCCTCGGGAACTGACTGTGAACCCAAAACCGTGTACAAGGCTGATTTAACAGATCTCACCTCCCGTTCCCAGACTCCACCGAAGTGGGGGGCCGACGGGGGATTGAAATGGAAATGGATCTTATGGCGAGCAAGCTGATGCTGTATATCAGGAACTAATGCGGCATAAGCTTCCCGTAACTCCCTTTCACCCCCGCGGAAGTTCGTACCTCGATCCGACCACAACTCAGCCGGTGTCCCTCTCCTCGAGACAAACCTTCTAAGAGCCATGAGGAAGGAGTCGGTACTCATGCTTGGAAGTAAGTCTAAATGGACTGCTCTCGTGGTCAAACATTTAAACAGAATACCCCAACGTTTCTCTGTACGTCTTCCGAGTTTGACCAGCAATGGTCCAAAACAGTCCATTCCACAAGAATAGAAGGCAGGCTTGTAGAGCCGAAGACGAGCGGAGGGAAGATCTGCCATCTTAGGAATTGTCGGTTGGGCCCTCCACCGTTGACATTCTGGACACTCGTGTTGAAACCGTCGTACAGCTTCGCGGCCACGAAGAATCCAGTAATATCTCCGTAGTTCGGCAAACAGCCGTTCAGATCCAGAATGATGTAATTTCTGGTCATAATGGTCTATGATCAAACGGGTGACTGGGTGATAAGGGTCCAAAACCAGAGGATGCAAAACAGAGTCCTCAATGCCTGCAACTCTCCTCAAACGACCTCCTACCCTGATAAGACCACTGGACAGATCCATTTCAGGGGCTAAGGTAATTAGACGACTTTTGGACCGGACTGACTTCCCGCTCTCTAACAATTTAAAGTCCTCAGGAAAAGATTCTTGTTGCACACGTCTGAGAATTTGGAGCTCAGCCTTATGGTAATCCTCAGCCTGGGGAGAAGTTCCAGGAGAAATGGTAGTTCGAAGTTCTTGGGCTGTCACATCTAATAGTTCCTGCCAGGTATGGTAGTTCCATCTGTCAGTATTGCCAGAAGAGGGAGGGCAGGTACTGATCCCACAAAAGGCAGATTTCCGCAGTTCCGCCTTGTCTGCCATGTTCTCAGTCTTAGGAAATACTGGCCAATTCTTGGCATCCCGGAGGAGGAAGGAGGGTCCTTGAGACCATCGGTTTGGTACAGCAAGGTATTGGAGAGGTTTTCCTTTCGTGAGGTCATCCGCCGGGTTGTCTGCAGAGCTTACATAATGCCATGAACACTTCGCCGTCAACTCCTGGATCTCAGCAATTCTGTTTCCTACGAAGACTCTGTATCGACAGGACTCAGAACTCAACCACTGAAGGACCGTGGTAGAGTCTGTCCACAGGGAAGTAGACTTGATAGGTAGGGTCAACTCTTTCTCAAGTAACTTAGCCAACTGTGCTGCGACTAGACTTCCGCAGAGTTCCAGTCTTGGAATAGAGTGAGCTCGTCTAGGAGTGACACGCGAGCGTGCTATGATGAAGGACAGATAGGTCCGACCTTCCTGGTCAGTAGTCCGGAGGTAAGCCACCGCTCCATATGCCTGCTCAGAAGCATCCGAGAAGACATGTACCTCATGAGTAGCTCCACTCATTTCAACTTCAGGAGGGAGATATGGCCGGGAAAAGGTGATACAAGGTAGGTATTGGAGTTCCTCTTCCCAATTATTCCAAGACTGGAGGAGCTCAGGTGGTAGGTTGGGGTCATCCCACCCTCTCTGCTTGTTCCACAGTTGCTTAATGATCACTTTCGCTCGAGTCGTATAAGGTAGAAGCCAGCCAAGAGGGTCGTATTGGGAAGCTAGTACCTTGTAGATATTCCTCAATGTAAGAGTGTTATATACCACAGGTCGGTGCTTGTAGGACAAAGTGTCCGCCTGCCAGTTCCAGCTCAGACCTAGCGTTGATTCAGAGAGATCGGATTTCTCCTGCGTCAACCACAGTTCCACACTCACAGCTCGAGCATTGGTTGGTAGGTGACTCACCACACTAGGATCATTGCAGGCCCACTGGCGAATGTCAAATCCAGCTCCAGAGAGGATATTTCGTAGTCGATCAATCAAACTTCGCGCTGCTTCAACAGTAGGCAGGCTCTGCAAGCAATTATCGACATAGAAACACTTCTCCATTGAAAACTGAATCATCTCATCCGTCTGGGGATGTTGCTGTACATGGCGTTGTAGTGCGTAGGTTGCACAGCATGGACTGGAGGTCGTGCCAAAAGGCAGTACCTGCCATTCAAAAATCCTGGGGGCCTCATCCATCTTCAGGTCCCGCCAAAGGAAACGGAGTAGATGACGGTCCCCAGGTAGAAGGCGAACCTGGTGGAACATCGCCTTGATGTCCCCACTCACTGCCACGGGATGTTCCCTGAAGCGGATAAGAACTCCCAACAACGAGGCGCCAAGGGTGGGCCCTGGCAA